GCTGGTATATTCAAATTGAAACAAACTTTTACGAACTATCCGTCGTAGCGGGCATCCATTCATTAGCTATGTTCGGTACCAGAAGAAAGTCCGCTCTTTATGGAACCCAACAGCAAACTTCTCATGATGGAAAAAATGAGCCGGTTTTTAAAATTTGACCTAAGATCAACTGTTAATCAATCTTCCCACGCTGAACAAACTTGCGCTAAGGTTCAAGACTTCTTTTTTTGCCCGAACTTGATAGTCTACATTATTATTACTATTATAGATCGTGCGGCCTTTAAAAGGTCGAAGGAAAATATTAATTAAAAAAATCGCAAAATTCTCGATAGAATCCAGACTTAGAGCAATTGAAAATGCGTCAAATGCGCTCAGAAATAATTTTTCATAAACCTGAATATTTAAGGCAAAATAAATGGATGTTTTAGAAAGGAAAACATCAACTACTAATTGGATCGTCCAGATGAGAATTTTGTGCCTTTTTGTACTGTTTGGTTATTTTTAGTCCTAGCATTTTTGAGAGTTTTGGCATTTCAATAGCTCAAAATTTATTTCCACTGGATTTTTGTTCCATATAATACATCTAAGCGACGCTCTATTGAATTTATACTGCCAGTGTAGATTGACGCACGGCCATTGTTGAAAAGTTACTTGCGGATTAGAGAAAACCTACTTTGAAAATGAAAAGTTTATGAATTGAAGTGTTCATATTAGATAAGTATGACCGCTAGAAATGACGCTGTTTCGACAATTTGGTTGAAAGATCTGGAAGCGTTTAAATACAGTTGCAACAACAACTTCTAAGAAAGAGACTTTATCTATTTGTCCGCATTGACAGGCTCGTCAGTTGACGCTCCATGAAGCATTAGCTGACAATAACATGAGTGAAGAATAACAGATGCCATTAACTCAATGTGCACCTTTATAGAAAACTAATCTTACCTGCGTGTAAAATATCGCATTACTGTTATTGCACGCGATCGAATGTTAGACAAAGCATCAAACTAGAACAGCTCGTTAGACCAACGAGTTTGCCAATAACTATGATTGATACTCCTAAAAAAATAGGCGATTGAAGTAAACGGTTTTGTGATATAGGGCTAAAAAGAAGACCTAAAAAGAGAAGGGGAACTAAGGGCGTGGAAAAGAGTGTGCGCGTTTAGAAGTGGCCATCCCCCGTTCAATCTAAGAGCGACGATGGACGTGTATCCCGTGATAATCACAGTTAGATGTGGACATTTGTGTTTCAATGGCTAATTTACAAGCGATTCCAGCAGTCCGATACGCGCTGAGGAGACAATTGAAGGAGCTTGTCTCTAAACCGAAACGATAGCTTTCTATAGGGAAGTCCAAGAAACAGCTACGTTGCCAATGTTCACGTAATACCAAGATGTCTTAGCATACCACGAAATTTGCTATTCCTAAGCAAGCTGGGACGAGCCGCGCCTAGGTAGATGTTAAACGTGGAAACATCTTTCTGTTCGCGAATGTATTTGCTCGCCACTGCAAATCTCATGCTAAGCAACATTTCAACGAAGTCTCCGGTTCAACATATAGCAGTTACAGACGACTCGCACCGTCGTGTGAAGGAAAACAAAAGCGCCTTGTTGTTGTTTAGATTTAGAATAATTTTTACGATTTAAATTTCATTTTTAGTATGGACACCACATTAATCTGTACTTGCATACAACAAAGCGCATTAAAATGAAAGGGTGATCTATACATTATCAAAATTCTTCTGTGCAAATATGGTACGATCCTGTGTAAACATGATACTCGGTAAGTTACAACCCGCTGCCTCTTAGGCAGCTTCAGCTGAGTGCAGAAATCATCGAAAATTCGCTACGGCTATTCCTTATTCCTTGGAAAAAAGTCCAAGCGACAACTTCAGAATTATATCCTATACACCAATATATAAACTTGCAGACCATCAACGTTCGAATGTGAAATAATCCCATTCCCTTTCAGTCGCAAGTTTCTCTGGTTTACATGTCTATATAACAGTACCGAAAACAGTTGGCCGCATGTTCTGGACGTTCCTTGATCTACTCCATTCACATTTACACGTTCCGTGCACAGAAACAGAACTCGAACAAACATTTCAGTCGCGAAGTTGCCCTTGCCCCAATTAAGAACCGGTCTGCCACCTCCGCGGCTGATGCTCCTGCCGCAGTAACATTCGAAGAACTAGAATTACTATTGAAGATTTGGTCAGCTACCAGTGCCATAAGTGTATCACAAATCAGCTTTTAGCGCTCCAACGTCACTAACGCGAACAGGCGACGATGGGTGCAAGAGCGATGTTCTTTTCAGGCTTTTTTTTCAGCCATCTATCTCAATAGGCTACTGAGCTAGTTCGAGCAAAACAGTACCATACTGGCAGAGTGCGTACTGAATGGCAGTTCATCTGGTCAGCAGCTTTTCCCCGGACAGCTGACTTTGGAGGGACCTTGTGTAGAGGAGTTGACAGAAAATCGAGCACACAAACATTGAGCTAAACGCCGGCCGATATAGTCATGCCATGTAGTCTCGCTTACCCTCCTCGTATCCTCGTACACTAGTTCTAATAACCCCCTGACTGGGCGAAACAACCTGCGTTTCTATCTCTTGCTCCATACGATGGCTAAACGATGGGAAGCAAGAAACCGATAATAGGATAGGCAGGCGGCCATCCAGCGATGATACAGCGCACTGGACCACGCCCCACGAGACAGCACTTTATTTTCTTGTTGTCACTACAGCAGTTATGAACTTTGTTGCAGAAGTTGCTTACTCAAACGTTTTGCTGAGCCTTATATTACATGTCGCGCATACTGTAGACTATATGACAGGTTATCATAATGCATTAGTTAAGCAGATTTTGTCGCTTTTCGTCATCCAGGTGGGCCACAAATTCTGTAAAAAGGCAATTTAAACGCCTTGCTTTGAAGGGGGTCCGAGTCTAACAATGCAAAATAGCGTGCAGTACGGCACGACGAACAGAATGTTCGCGTTTTTCGCCATTCCGACGAGCTTTGAGATATCGTCTTGTTCAATATGAGATGCGTATAAAAATAGGCACATCGTCTGAATTGTGAGCAATTCAGCGATCATCGTGGCACTGAAAGTAAAAAAGATGCTTTGCCAAAACCTGCAACATGATTATTGATATAATTGACTAACGAACACTGGCCATATCTTTTGCTTTTATTATCCTTTTCCTTTCAGAATTATCATATTTACTTTTACACGACGTGTTGCTGAGTTCTTCATGAATAGCCCGTCATATCGTATGCTTGCCCGCATAAAACCTCTTTACTCATGCCTTAATCGCAGTAAAAAAAAGCAGAAACTTTCCTTTGAACGGCAATAACGTAGACAATTCGTTGTGTTGTGCTAGAGTCCGCTTTCCGTTCTCGTACAGCCGTATACTTATTAACAACGCGGTATATTATTGAATAAGGATTAGAATAATGTCAATTGGGGTTTGCGTACCATATTAAGATTAGATAATTGCTGAACGCCGGTCAAATTCCTGGCTTTCGTTTGGCACCAGGAGTAGCAGGTGAGCGTTACAACGAACATTTCGACAAAGCCTGTTCCAATTCGGATGCCGTACTATATATATATATATATACTACTATTGTCATATAAGGATGATATCCGGGTACTAGTGCGATGCTACTACAATAGGTGGCACCAAAACAGGAGCTAAGCTGTGTTGTTCTCGATTCAAGGATGGACAAAGAGCTCAGTAAAGTCTGCGAAGGGCATTCGACAGCGAATGTAATGGAATGTAAACATATTAAATCTTAGCTACACGATGCCTAGGCAATCAATTGGAACACTGGAGATAGCTATGGTTGATACGCCTACATGGGCTTGCTTACGGTTTTCTAGCAGGCCCAACCCAAAGCTGGTTAAGATCCGTTATGGGGAACGTGGGTGGATTTCAAGACTTCGAGTGCATCGGGTTGCCGTTGAATTGCCGCGGGTTCATAGTGTTCCTAGGGGAATGCACCAGTCTGGCGGCTTTGTTAACGACCTTACCGCAGCACCATCGCGAGACTTCACGGAGTTTGCAGGTCACTAGAGCGAAGCTGGAAACCGAATTCATAACACGCAAATGATGCTAATGTAAACCTACTTCAAAGAGATAGGCTAACGAATTCGAAAAAAAAAAAAAATAATAAAGTGAAGGTTAAGGTAAAGCGACAGTATCTAAGTTTAGCAAACTGCTGGGTAGGTTAACACCATAGACAAATGTTTTACAGACTGTCCGTGCGACAAAAACGGGCGAATCAGATTTCTATCGTATTGAAATACAGCTGCTAGGTCAGTTATGTGTTGAGGAGAAAAGACCTCGTTGTACATACGTCGTATGGTGAAAGCGCCAATATTTCAACCAGAGCATAAATTCGAGTACGTATGATGATTCCGATTCAGAACCCGTCGTTTGAAGCAATGCTTAACTGCAGTACAGAATATGCAATTTTTTTTATTATTGGTTATTATGCTAGACAGAACCACACAAAGCCCTTTGGTGTAGTTCTCTGAGGACTATTTAGATGAACCCTCCAGGACACACCGCTATTGTCACCATCGGTGAAAATATACACGAATGATGCAAAAAGATGCGAATTTGTAAATACCTTTCAAAGGAAATCTATTATACAGCAAGGTTTTCCAGACATTTATGAGTGGGCGGGAAGATTTGACCTGAAAAGGTTGCCGCTCTACGTTTCGGTAAGTATATAAGATTGGCGGCATAGATCTGAAGTCTCAATGCAATCAAGGATCTAGAACGTCCAACCGTACATGATCGAAAAATTGTTTAATATTACCGAAAACAGCAGCTGAGCTAAAAGCGATTTTCGAACAAAACAAAAAAAAAGAAGGCTATCCCGCATGTCCAGGGAATGAGTCCTAGATGTAAGACTAGTACTGTAGAATAACTATTTCAATAAATCACGAAAATATATAAACGTATATGTTTATATCTAAGGAAAAACAGTTCACAATGACTTCCTCGATTTGTTATTTTTATTATATATATATATATATATACACATATATATATATCCATCACTTATTGCCACCTTGCATGCAATACCTTCAGACTTCACAATTGTTGTTCGTTAACTAGATTTTTTCAAATTAATTATTACAATATACTAATATTGTTAACAATAATAATCAATAGCAATTGTAATATCATCATCGCCACCACCATTATAATCTTCTAGTTGTCAATATGCAACTTTTCGTTTTTCATACTTCTTACCAGCTGTTTATTGCTGCTGACTTGCTGAAATCAACATTTAAATGAACATAATCAAGAATCAGCTTTGGAAGAAAACACGCATTTCGACGAGCGTAAGCACACATTTAGCGCTTATTCCTCAGAGCCTTTTGTCATAAGCACATTGCTTTCCTCTGTGTCTACTTCGGTACTGGACGGAGAACGTTGCAACGACAGACAGAATTACCCCGAAAATTGATCGCCACATCGAGTACGTTGTAGTTGAGAGCATAAGTAAGCTGGTATTACCCACCACGCACTTTTAGTTTCAGTTCGAGGCCAGCCAATTAATATTGAGCCTAATCGTATGATCATATGATAGCTAATATTATAATTATGGATAAGAATGTTATCAACGTACGTGATAGCTGTTGATCTGAAGAATCATTTATACAGTTATAGCAGTTAAGTAATATTGTCAATACAATTTATTCAACACCTTCAAAGAAAACAATGGCTTCTTTCCCTGCTTTATGCCATTTAACATATAAATTATGCCTATTATAGGTGTTATTAAATGTAATAATAGAAGAAGATGAGTTAGTCGGTACTTGTACCCATCGTTTACTTTATCACTTCATACCATAACAAGCATCATTAGCAGTATCAACCATTTATATCATTATCATAATGTACGTTTCAAAATTACTTGTTGTTGTTGTTGTTGATCATCACGTCATCAGTCAGACACCATCACTATTAGCATCATAATGCCATACTCATCGTACGTTTACCTCATTTCACTTCGCTTTTTCTCAATCTTTCAGTTTTATATCAGCGGGAATGGGTCCACCCATTCAATAAGAATTACATTTCTGTGAAACAACACCTAACCAGAAGGTATGGTTAGCAGTCACCTCCAACTAGCAAAACATTATCCTTTCCAGGTCTTCCATGTTCAGTAGTATCACGTTTTTTTAATAGATCCCGCAATCAGCCTCGCCTGTCTCGCATAACGGTACAACTTTCGTTTCATGATATCCAAGATTCTTTATTAAAATCCTCTGCTTTCTGCCCGGGAAGAACTTCAATGCTCAGTGCTAATGAGTGAAACGAGGGATCCGGCTCATAGAGATCAAACATTGTTTTCTTTCGCCTACTCCCAGACTCTTGTTTATTTATCTATAATATTTCGTATTGGTACCATATGAATCAAGACAAGTTAATATGTATTGTTTAATTCATAAACGTCAGCATTTTGTTTACCGGTATATCTTTATCCAGCGAACAAAATGCCATTGACAAACACACCTTTTACCCAGATGCAACATTGACATAACGACATGTAGTAGAAGTAACATGTTAAAGAATAAGCACCAGTGGCAAAAAGGGCCATGATTTTTTAATCTTGAAAACTATTCAACTCTTCATACTCGTACTGCGAAAAAGTAGTTCGGGGGAACTAGATTTCTTATCTTGTACGTAGTCATAGGTATCATCTGTTGGTATTTATTTAGGAACAAAAGGTAGGTATTTCCAGAAATTATTATGTTATGCATAAGTACACTATTTTGCCCCTGGTTTTGGGCCCGTTAGATATGACAACTGTTATAGTAGATGTATTCAACAGCTGTACTGATTGATCTGGAGGCGATGAATTATTAGCAGTTCAGCACAATCGGTGAATGAATCAGATTTGTTTGCTTTTTTATCTGTTGGCTGAATACTTTTCTGATTTCGCCATTGATCACCATCGTCTTAAATAGAGGTCAAAACTGGCGATTGCGAACGCTACAAACCCACCAGCACGTACTCCTATACCGTTCGTTAGTACAAGCTGGGTGATCATCACTGGCCTAATCAGGCCCGCCGATGTAAGGCTCATCGATTGTTTTGCCCTTGTATGACTAGATGACGCTATTTTACGATGATGCTTATCACCGTCCTACAAGAATCAACGACTGCAACCTTGCGCTTCTACACTCGACAACTTCATTCGCATTAATATTATTTATCTTTAGCATCGTTTACTGTTTGATCACCATCGAAAATCGATGGCACTTTTATTTTACTATATATTTATAATGAAAATAAAAATAATTAGTCATCATAGTGATCGCAATACCACACCGTTAATAGCAGAAGCATCTGGGCTAACAAATACCACGAATAAACCCAAGTGACGAACGACAAGATGTTAGTAAATTTAATCTCGCGGGGCTACCAACAACTCGTGCGAAGCCCCCCTCAAGTCATTTGTGTGTACATATTCTACACTATAAAGATGTAATCGGCTAAAGCAATGGAGAGGTTTTAGTAAAAAGTAAACAACACCTTCATCGAACTGCCATGTATAAAGATGTCCAGATAAGCATACCGCCTAGAGAGACAAAAACCTTTGATTAATCAAGAAAGCCATGCTTTCTTTTCGATTGGGCGCCCCACGCCTACTCAATATGAATTTCATTTAACTTATTAATCTTTAATATTATCATTAATATCAATTACTAATAACAACTAAAATTCTTTCATGTACAATTTAGGGAAAATCTCGTGATTAAGAAAAGACCGATGGGAAAGACTGATATTTATAGCACCGACAAGAGAAATGCAAAAAGTAGTACAGAATTGCCTTATAACGGAAGTATCAATTATATTTCACAGCAACTAGCCATGGCAATATATGTGAGTTAAGTTGCTATATACGCCAATGGATAATTTGCAATACATCACAGCTTGTAGAAAGCAGTTCACTAGACCTGTTCCATCTAGCCAACGTTATAAGGGACATGCCTTATCGTATGGTTCCATTTGGGAACGACCAAATTTCAATTACAGCATTATACGATAGACCGACTGTCTTTCACTACAAAGGTTACCATTAATATGCGGGTTCTTTTTCTAAAATGACTTCATATAGTTGCTCTTGATACAGATATTACAGAGCACTGCAGCCTGCCCTCAAATACATCTCATTGGACGCGCATATTTTAGTGCTAACACTTCAACACGGCGCTTAATTTTATCCAGCCATACATATGTACTTAATTATTTGGCGTATTTCGGTGGTCCTGCTCGTGACTCGTAACTTGTTCCGTTCGTTCGCTCTTCCTCAGTTTGTGAAATTTCAATAACATACTTGGTAAAATTACGTGTGGCGTAGCAGTAGTTAGGTTAGCTGTGTTCGATACTGATCAAAAAGGTAATCTTAAGCTTAGTGTGTTGATGTTTTTAAATGGCAAACCACTACGGAAGTGAGATAAATTGTTGTAGCTCGGGGCTCGGAAATATAAAGTTCTATTCGACTAATTCTCGATAATGAATTTCAGAAGCCGGCAGTACTGAATGCTGTTGCTTTTTGCTGCTGGTATAGATCATCTATAGTCATGTTACAGGCTCAAGTGTACGTTAGGGAGAAGCTAATTACAAGGCGCATACAATAAGCCTATTGCTATGACGGAAATAACAATAATCGAAATAGTCAATCAACTTTCATTCGACACCTTTACAGGGAAATACACGCAACAGATATGTGAATCTCTTTTGTTTCATTCTTTTACGTGCTTCATGCATATTCGCCCTAGTTCAAACAAAGAGTAACATGATAATAATAATAATAATAATACTTATAAAATCAATTAAATTGCTCTTTCATGATGCCTCTCAATGTCACTAGCACGCGTTACTATCCACTATAATTATCTGCCCTTCACTATTATTACGGTCGCTCTCTTCACTACTTCAGACTTCATCACACTGGGCATGTTTTCCTATTTATTCGTTCGACATCACTTCTCCGTTGTCTAGCCTCCATGTAAAACGTTGTTTAATTTTATTAACCGTACCCGTAAGTTTCCTTACCTTCACTTTTCCTCTACCCCGCACTTGTTTTTTTCTGTCCGTTCATCGCAATGACAATTGAATATTACCAATCAATCATTTGTCTTTCGTTCAGCTCAGTTTTTTTCATAGAGATATATGGAACAACGAAGTCTGCCTGTCATTCACCTATAGATAGCAACTTTAAACTTTCAGACAATGTTTCGCTTAAACAAGTAATTAGTCAAACTCTTTTTGCGATACTGTAACGCATTGATATGCACATGACGAGCTAACAATTAATAACAGATGTATATAACTACAACTGCAGTACTTATGCTTACTGCTGCTTTGCCAATTTCTTTATAGGTATCGATAATAAATCCTGTATAATAATAAACAAAAAGCCTTGCCAGTTAAGGGCCCTCTGCGGGTCACTATTAGAGAAGACGGAAGGCTTACCTTAAAACGTTAACGGAAGCTTATGCTAAGAAATCTGAAGCCTCCATATAAAGTATATGTATAGCTTATCCAAGGATCGCTGATAACTGTTTTGAAGCTCGTGCGGATTTCTCTCAAACAGTTCATTTAATCTAAGATTTTGAAAAGAAATAGAACAAGTCGAAAAATATGTTAAAATACATTCACAAATTTGCACTTCCTTTTTTATATGGTTTAATGGTTGTATTTAGTATGTATAGCCATCAATGTAATGACAAGATATCTAACAGTATTGATTTCCACTCACAAATTGCATATTATACGATATCCAAATTTTTATATAATGGTGGTATGATGCACGTTGCTTTGAAAACTTTGTGTATCGATCGGCAAGGACGAATAATATGAAGTAGAAAGGCTATTTCTGCTCGTTAGAACAAACACTTTCCAATCTGCAGGCAGGCGCCAATTTCATAAATACAATTATGCGTCATGCTTACTCACACTGCACCTAGTGCGATATTTATAAGTTTAGCTCAAAAAAGATGACGTATCTCTTTTGCTAAATGTTTTTGCAGCTTCATTCAGGCGTCATCGTGGCAATCATTAGTCTACCCCATGACATATCGTAGTATTTTGCCTTGTATTCTTGCACTTCCCAGTTATATATACTTTATACCTTATTGACCTATTATGAAAATTTAGCGGGTTTAAAATAAATGTAATTCTAATTCTGTCAGTGTCAGTTCTTTTTGTTGTTGTTGTTGTTGTTGTCTTCGTACAACAGCATTTATGGCAGTGCAGTTCAACAGAGATGACCGCCGGCAGTTCCATATCAACATCATTAGCATTATTACTCTTTTTCGACTATTACAAAGTCACAATAGAAAAATTTTCACATAACCTAGTACGAATATGAATTAAAGTATAAGGCATCATTATTGTGATGTAATAAGAAGCTCCGTAAAACCTATTAGCCTACGTTTCGATTAATGTGGCACATGGTTATGTTATCATTCTCTACTATTGATGTCCCCGTAAAAACATATTAAAACATCATTCGATATTTTCAGTAATGCCATACGCATCTGATTACCATAGTGCCCCAAAATGTAAAGAATTTCAATGTGCCAAACTATTGGAATCAGGCTTGCACTTTTATTTGCTTGTTCTTCTTGGGACTCTCCTGATGTCGAACATCTTCTATTTGTAATGAGAGTTCATTTGGATAATAATAATAATAATAGTACTTTAATAATTATGATAATAATAATTATCATAATGGTAATAATAACAATGAAGGATTATATTTAATGATGCGATCGGCGTTGCAGTTAAACTCCGTCGGGTTAGTTGTTGTTGTCGTCATACTAGTAATAGTGGTGTTGTTGTTGTTGTTATCACAGTGAGCGTCTGGAGTGACATCTTCTAGCCGCAGTGCATCGTCTCTATGTGCTCGCGGTATTCTTGCCACGAGGCGTATACCTTCTCCGACTGGTAGCGTACAAGCTTAATCGAACGACGAACGTCCGCTGTTATGTTACCTGAAAATCATGAAATGAAAACAACATAATTAACTGTTGTCAGATCATTATTAAAGAGCACGTTTCCTTCAACAAATTCAGATGTATAATTCGTATGCATGCATGCTGGTTCTCAATATTTTCACGACCATAAAATGTGTGAAAGCGCTACATTTACTTTCTCCTCAGAAGATCGTAGGCGCCTTATCAATCTGCCACAAATGTTGTTATTTTTTGGAGCTCTCGAGCTCCATCCAGGCCACAAGGATCGCTGGCAATTTATGATTGCTCCATCTCATATTTTGACAACGATATCAGCTATTTATTTACTTCTCTGAGTCATTCCTACAAACTTTTTTCTCATTTACATGGCCAGCTTGACTTATTATCTACTTAACAACGATATGACAACTATTAGACACATTTGTGAGTGATTTTCAAGTATTTGAATTTTCCATCGTTTTTTTCAACAACAAATGCCCATTCGTCTATACACAAAGTAAATGTAAATGCTTAATGTTATTATAATATTTTCTCTAAGACTACCACATTAGGACATTATAGAATTCAACAGTGTCATCTCACATTTCCTTTTAGCAACTCAAGAACGAAAAAGAGCAGCTTTCCGTTAAAGTTTCCATCAGAATTTTTCCGCGCTCGTTACATTCAAACTCAAAAACGTTTACGAAATATTTACGCAGTTTAACTTACCCCGGAAACCACCTTTACGTAAAAGTGAATCGACGGTTTGAAGTCGGTCCCAGTTCTGCTCCTTTGCTATTTCTGGCAGATAAGTTGCACTACGATGGTGGCCTTTTTCCGTCTCGAATTCTATTCTAATGCCATGAACTCCAATCTGCACAAAGAATACAATGTATTTTTTAAATCTGTCCGAATTTCATTTCTTTAAATTCCCAAACACGGTAAATTCTGCACAAAATGTGCTCATTATCATGGCTGTGCCTATCTGTGAGGTCTAAATATTAAAAGTGGACACTGATGTGTATTAAAACATATAGCTTTTGCTTTGAATCTTAAGTTTCTATTAGTGCCATATTATTTAGAAAAACGAAATTCTATCTCGACAACCGCAAACAGAATTTCGCTACCCTGATAAAATCAGTTAACCATGAAAAAAAATCAACCAAATGGTGATGCTCTACTTGTCTTCTGAGTCGACGAATCACCTTATCAACTATTCAAATGGTCATGACTTGAGTCAATTTAAACAATAGTTCGAGCTTTAATTCTATTCAGTTAAAGCTAGGTTAATAAAAAGCTATAATTAAGGCAAATTATCACGACTTGTAGCATAATACTTATAGAACTGTTTGTTCTAAAAACGAATTAAGTGTTAATCAACTCAAAGTTATTTAAACATAAAAACCTACCTCCCAATCGAGATAGTCGTGTCCATCTTCAAAGTTAGTAAGTAACGATACTGCACAGGTTAGTCGTGACAGTTCGTCTCTTGTAATTGGCTCAAATCGGGAATCCTTGAGAGCACTCGTTAGTGCGTACTCCCGTAGACCACCATGAAGCTTTAGTGGCGTGAAAGTGCCGATACAGCCGCGAAGCCGGCGTTCGCGACCCAGCTGCCATGTGACGAAGAGCGGACTGAAAATATAATGCAATATTATTAACCAACTTCTAGCGCTGAATGTACCCAATGAAGGATACTAAAAATATTACAACAATATTAAGATGCCTCAAAAGAATACCAGACATGCCTTATTTAAATTGTATAATCGGGGCTTGTTTTTTATTAGTGCAATTTGACAACCAAATAATATAGCTTGAACGAGATATACAGGGTGCTTCAAAACTCGAGGTCAATCGTCGAAAGGGTGTAGAGCTTTGTAGAGGAAGCATTCTTCATAACGGAACCATAGGGCACCAATCCTGATTTTGTTGGTGAAAACTTAAATTTATGAAATAATTAACTTTGCAGATACCATTTCAAGAAAGACGCCATTGTGTTATAAACGCCTGGCTAAGAGAGTAAGAACATGCGTATATTGAGAAGAAGTAGGCACTTTTTTCAAAAACTAATTTTAACCAAAACTTTTCGTCAGGACTGAAATCCTTGGGAAACCTGCATTTGGGTGCTACCACATGGCGAAACAGAGAATTGGCCTTATGTACATATTCCTAAGTCACTCGCTATAGGAGAAGATTGGTTAGCATTTTCAATTTATAAGGTAAAAAAGAAAGGCAATGAAAAAGAATCAAGCATTAATTTCAAGTTTGACATGAACCCTGCAGCAGGTATCTACATCGTTTATAGTTAAAAGTAATATTCAATTTAATTTAAAACATACACTGTATTAGCACATATAACGCTGATACTGCCAGTAGATGAAACTAGCAAAAATGTCTGACATTTTGTAGTTTGCGGTAACTATTGATTAAATATTATATAGAAAAATCCGTTTATGACTACTTTGGCAAGTGTGTACCTAAACAACAGCAGTTTGTGTTCAAGCTGTGCAGTTGTCTGCATTTAGCGCTATGTGCACAGCCTGAGAATATGCTTAATGACTTGGATGTCATCGCACTGTTAAAAGGAGATTGTATAGTTACATAATCACAACAATCTCGAATGAAAAACGCGTAGTAGTCTACGAAATAATAGGTCTTAATACAACAATAGGTTTTAAAAATAGACCTGAACAACTCATACTTAGCGCGAGTGTATCGAGTAAATGTTACGCAAAATCGTGTCAAATAATTCTTGTGTGCTTAGCACTATAATGTGCTTGAGCCGATAAAAAGGTTTGAAAGAAGCTAATTTGAAACAAAACTTCATATTGTTTAACATATACCTTTAATTAACAGGGTTGTTTCTATTTAAAATTGTAATACATCTATTACATTAGTAAAGAATAGCATGACGAATCTTTCCAAGAGAGGATAATAAAAAAGGATAAAAATCCATACGGCATAATAAAAAAAAATTGTGACAACAGTTCAGTATTTTTTTTGAAACATTTAAGGAACAGGCTTTTTCATCTTTAATCAAGACTAGGCACTGTTGCCGTTGAGTTGTCTGTACTACTCCAGTAAGCGCAATGTAATAGAACTTACTAGCTTTCATTCGTAAAGTGAGGCTCCGGCGGCAACTCCTGCCGATTAAGATGGGAGACAAGCACATCGAAACAATAAAAGCACATCTCTTTTCGGGCAGTGCGCGGCAGAGAGGCCGAGTCTCCGTGGCCAAAGGCCAGCTTGGCCTTTTTCGCCGACCGAGGCGAATCCATGACCTTCTTGAGGTGCTGGAGAAAACCTGACAAACAATACGAGAGAGAGAAAAACAATGAAACCAAGCTGCTGGGTCAACGTTTATTCGACACAAATTTAGGTTAATGATAACAAATATGAGGCAATTATAATACAACTTAACACATAAAGATCCGCGTGGCATAATATTTGGCCTCTATACGTTGCACAAATTAAATAAGCCAGTAGTTTTATGTCAACTTTATTTTAAACCGAAGAAATAAAAACTATGTATATATAATATTTTAACATATATTCGTAAGAATTAGAAAAAGTAGAGTCTGACATGTTAAGTTCTGCTAGAGGCTACTTATAGAGTAAGTAATCAAGCTATAGCAGTCTTAAACGTGTGATCGTTAGAATGTTAAGATTACAATGTTAAGATCCGTTTTGCGTACAATTGTTTAGTTCGACTATTGCTAAATAATTTAAGAGAAGTCCAGTCTTGAAGGTGCCTATAAATTACGTTTTCTCCACAAACTATTTTATTCGCATACAACACGCAATGAAGTTCAAGATGGAACTTCTATCGAACAAATAACTTCGCATAAATTCAAATATCGAGTTTTTTTAGGCAACTTTCTTCAAATTGTTTAACAGAGTTTGGTGGAAGATCTGTAATTTTTTAATAATGTCATGAATACTCAAGTGGCGGTCTCTCTCAACTTCCGCATAATTTCGTCTTCTTTTTTTATAATTGGTCGACTACTATGAGAAGCATCTACAACACTTAAATTTTCAGGACGAAAACATTAAAAACTTGTTTGGGCCGTTTCTTCTGATTACGCATCTTAATCACAAACCAAACCATTTTTTATGAGCTCTGGCAGCATTTTTGCTTTTATCATAATAGAAATATACAATAGAGCGAAAAAACTTAGGTGCCTTAAATCTTACTTTGTGCCTAAAATCGACGAAACCTGTGTTTATCTTTTATTTACTTGGTTTGACTACCACCTCTTCCTCTGCCTAAATAACCCCTGTGGCTTTTCTGCGTTCAGTAGTTTCGCTAGCGATCAGTTGATAAAACCTGTAGCATCGCCACATTTAGCGTCCCTAAACGATACCACAAAATCATATTGTGATCGTATCCTTCACATTAAGCTGCAGAGAAATGACCTACTATTGAAGGGTTTTCAATGAGTCATTTCTGTCATGCCTTCTTGGGACAGATATCGTTTGAGATGTACACGGGACCTTAAAAAGTGAAGTTTACTAGTTAAATTCGCTTTTTTTTCTGAGCTGAACAAAACTGACAAGTCCATTTAGAGGTCATTGTGGTATATATATATATATATATAAGACAGTGTATACATGGTGCTTCACAAAATCGTTGGTCAATTCAACATTTTAGCCGTTTATTTCCTTTTATCGCACTGTTTTTTTTAGCTAGAGAGATTAACTAGTCGTAGCAATCCATTAGCCCAATTCTCAGGGTGATTCTAGCTATACATGACTTGCAAGGATTGAGACCATAATCGGCTAACGTTTCGTTTCATGTCTTGCTAAACACCACATGGTATCTGATGTTCCTCAGTTTGTTCGCACCCCATGACGCCCCTACGCTTTTACATAGTTTAGCACCGTTTACATTTAGTTTCGGAGCACGCCTTGGTCAAATATAGCCGTTCCGACAATAATCGTTTTCTTTTTTTATGTACAAAATATCCTTTACTGCTTAAATATTGCGCTGAAACTCGCAAATGTTTTCTCAAATCCGATATTATCGCGTAATTCGTTCATAAACAGTTAAGAAAACTTCTGGATCGCTCTTTCAAGTGACGTTGTAGCCAGAGTTATAGTTTCTAGCATTTGAAGAACAGAGAGCCGAAGTACAGATATAAAAATCGTGTAAATTTATTAATATTTTTGTTTCCTGCACAGGGCAACCAAAATTAACCTGTGTTCGGTTTTGAGAGGCACTCTTTCATGTAACATAACGCACAAACAAGGCTTTACAACCTTTCTCCTCAAAAAATATCCTTGTATTTCTTAGATCTTGTTACGAGCATAGGTGTACCATATTCTATTATAAATAGATAGTTTTATTGAAACAGTTTGATCATGTACGTTACACAGTGGAAGAGGTATCTTTATATCACGCCAAAAAAAGGCTACTCTCTACCATTTTCGTCACTGTTCTCAAATAATAATGCAGTAATATTAGCTTTTGAAGTATGCGCATAGTTCAAGCCAATATTTATAAATTAGCGCATAAAAAAGAAATAGTTATTGCCCGCAAGACTTCACGCGGGTGAGGTCTGGTCTAACTTTAAAAATAAATGAAACCGAAAAACCTGAAAAATAATCAACAACGTTATCCTATATACAATAAATATAGCGAAGTAATGTTCGTTTTTGATTTTCACTTTGCCTCTTGTATATATCCATAGAGTGACTCGATATCACTGAAGTATTAGAATTATTGTTTAATTAAAATGAATAGGGCGGTTTTCTAGGCAGCTTACAGTTGCAAAATTATAGCAGATTTTTCGAGTATCATAGAATACATAGAACATTACCGCATGAATGCTATGAATGGAATGTTAATGATGACCTGCCAAATGGGAATTATTTAGAAAAAAAGCAGGGTTCATCTTTACATTAATCCCAAAAAAAGTAACAAAGTAACTTGCCTGTTCGCCTATATATATACTTGTGAGTGAGTCACTTATGTCTACTTAAAAACGATCGAAAAAAAATACAGCTTAAGCATTTTTCTCTCAAGTGACGCCACTAATTTGTGGCAGCCTTATCGTGTTTATCGTACAGTACGTACACCCCTATTAAGGGCTCAAAAAAAACTTAGACCTATTTGTAGGTGTGTTTCTGCTGCTTTGGCCGTCGACGAAAGGTATCAGACTATTATGGGTTCATACGATTTTTAAGCTGACTATATTTATCTATATTGTCTTCTTTTATGTGTCAGTAAGTACCATTAATATTATCTGATAGTTCAGCCTAGCTCAGTAAAGAAAAGAAACAGCTAACCTGTGGTTCTCGGATTTACATCTGGTAAATTCAAACTTAGATAAAATCCATCAGCTCAGCCTATGTACATCTATTAACAAATATGCCAATTAATCATCAACTGATTGTCGTGATAAGTAAGAGCGACAGAAGTAATGCACGCAATGAAGCAGCCCAATTGGTGAATAACTGACCACAAATGAGCAGGGGTAATTCCTCAACAATCGACACTATTTGGCATATCAATGACGGGTCGTCATGGGGAAATTAGAAAAGTATGAGTGCAGTAGCAAGAGAAATATATGTACTAAGTAAATGTAGACCCTCTGACTAACGACGCTGTGAGCGACGCGGGTATACAGCCTGACCGTTATAACTAGCAGTAGCATATAGAAGATGCGCTGTCATGAAAGAAATGATTATGATCATAAAGGCAAGTCCCGTCACCCCCAACTAGCGCTACCTTTATTGTTATTGCTGTGCTTTTTGATTGATGCCACTGCGTGCCAATAATACACGTAATAAATGTATTTGTAGTGACAGTATTATCTTACAAGAGGGTTATTGAGAGGGCGCAGTTATTCGCATATTGTATCGTTGCGACTACCGCGCTACGCTACTGCTCTATTCGTCATCGAAGACGAACAGCTGCTGTTGCCGCTCCCGTTTTCGCCGCTGTCGCTAAATGAGGCAAGCGACTATCATCGTGATCATAATCAAAACCACCACCGATTTTGTTATAATACAAATACAAGCGGACAAGGGAGCACCAACACTAACTCAAAGTCATAGCGGAAGAACGAAAGGAAGAAGTCTTCTTACTAGTAGTGACAACCAAGAGGAAAGCAATTAAAAGCTATTGTTTTTTTAGTAAGATATTGTAAACACCATGACATTATTATTGATGCTCTTCAACACGACGAATACGCACGAATGTTGGAATGTTTGCATCTGTGCGAGGCAAGCAAAAATAATGGACCCATCATATAAGAAATTTTCAATATGTCCCGCGTCCAAAAGGAAACATCTGTTCCTAAGTTTTCTAATAGTAACTAACATCATAGCACTAGCTGAGAGACAATTAGCAGCTCGAATGGGCATCAACGAAAATATCATCAGCAACTACAGTTGTTGCTATTGTAGCAGCAGGAGAACCGAATGGTAGTTTCGTATAAAGTTAAGTACCTACCAGTTGTCAATGGTGTAATTTAACATGTTAACTCAAATACCATGTATAACTGATTAGACAGGGGCGGCTATAACGATTCAAGAAGGAACAGGTTTTGTATGAAAAGCAAACATTCATAAACAAAAAGCTGAGGGAGCAACACTCACCCTTTGGTTCCGAAATGACTGCCGTTGGGTGGAGGCCGCGTTTTGTTGAAAAATCTGCTGCAACGCCAGCCCGAGTTAACGACAAGAGAAATCGGCCCGATGGCGAGGCCCCCCAGTGGGCGTAGCAGGAGATACTACAGCGGAACAGCCACGATCACCAGCACGATCCGGCAATACAAACGATGACGACGACGACGACGATCAGCAGCGCATTTACCAAGCAACGAACGGATAGGAAGGGTCAGTCACACTAAGACAACAGCTAGCCTGTCAGAATTACAACAGCCTAACCAGCAGATATTTTTGTTTCTATCTTTCCTTCTTCCTTGTTTCCTGCTGGTCAGTCAGTCAGTCAGTCACTCAATCAGAGAGAGAGAGAGAGTTCTCCAGCTACCTGGCCGTCTCAGTTGAACCAGAGAACACAGCCAAGCGAGAGATATATACTGAATACGATCAAACGAACGACCATACCCCACCGCCGTTGCTGCCGCCTATGGGGGGCAGTAGCATTGACTTTGGTTTATGCTCGTGTTCAGTCTTCATATGCGTACACAGGACTACTGACTAAAAGGTAGTAACCAGGCAGGATCAGCCAACACAAATACACAGGCAGGCAGGCAGGCAGACGATAACGACGAACGATCACACAACGATGACAACGACGATAGCGACGACGACGACGACTTCGTCGTCAGTATGCACTGTAACGATTGGGCCAACAACGAGCCTTCGTGCTGTGTGTCTTCCTGACACTGTTGGCAGATACTGGGCCCTCAGCCAAAAAACAAACGAACACAACGTGTAGTCCCAATGAACCAGCCGGTGGCAACTCTAACTATAATCGAGCGGCCAGTCCGTGAGTCGTCCAACAAAGAACGAACCAACCAGCTCCAACCAGCCGCCAGCCCACAACAACCAATAGAACAGTCAGCAGCAGCGGCAGCCAGCCAGCTAAACAGACGGCGAACAGAAGACTTTTTCAAACAACAGGCGACGACAGTTTGGCTTACTCAGGCTACAATGAACAAGGGGACGAGCGAGCGAGCAGGAGTAGCAGCACCGGTGGAGCCAGAAACAACGACGAAGGCGACAGCAATGATGAGGGCCAAACCACTACGAGTCATTAGCACGCATAAGTACCACTGCACTAGAAGAGACTACTGGCGCTGTGGCTGCTGGGGCCGTTGTGGCGGCGGCGGCAACGGCAACAACAGCGGCGGTGGCAGCGGCGGCTGCTGCTGCTGCTGATGCGAGCATCAACAACACAAATATCAACACAACGACCACAGGCATTCGGAGTAAGGAAAGAAGACGACAGGCAGGGCAATGCAGCCGCTGAGGTGACGGCGGCTGTCTGCTGCTACCTCCGCTGCAGGAGAAGAACAGCTGAGGGAAATGACGTCACATCCGTTAGAGAGGCCCTATCGGTGGTCCCGTTTAAATGTTCGTTTGCCCTGCATCTATACACAGGCCCTTAGTTAGCGATCATCTGCACTCAGCGTAGCCAATGACCCTTCCGCTTTAAACAAAACACAGAAGGAAAAGGTGTAGACAGTGCACGGGAGAGGGCGAAGGAAAGGGTAATGCTTGTAGAAGAAGTGTTGACTACTTAGAGGAGAGACTGTCTATCGAAAAGACGCACCAAGCCACTAAATACGCAGAGCTAGCGCGGCTGGCAAGGGAGGGAGGGACTGAGGGCCGCGACAATATTGCCACTCGAGATAAACGCGCGTAAAATTCTCACATGTCGTCCCATTAAAGTCTTGCTTGTGGAAGGAAAATACATTTTTCGTAGATAAGGGACGCCAAGAGATAAGCAACGAATTTAGTTATACTTGAGAAATAGTTTGTGTTGTGAGCTTTTGAATATAGGAGTTAATTCCTGAACAAAGTGCCGCACTCCTAATCGTAATCTGTTTTTGAATACTGTACACTTCCGGCTAAAAACGACTAATATAAAACTACGCCTTAGATTCAGAAATTTATGACTCATGGTGAAAAAGCACTATGCAAAATAATTTTCAGAGTAAATGCCAATACCGATAATGTCATACAAGTAGCTATTAAATATATAAATAGGACAACACCACAGCTGGACTTTGAGAAGTTTCAATTTAAAGTTTAATTTTAGGATAAAAAAAAGCTTCAAAATATATTTTCTGTTAGTAGTTCTTCTTGATCGGTGTTTTAGTCGGTGTATTAGCTGATAGAAACAGATGCGTCGGAGGCATATTGGGGAAACTTTTAACGAGAACAATGGAAGCACTCAGTGCCGGTGGACGTATCTAGACCAGACTCACAAGTCGCAAAACGAATTCAATACGTCGCAATACGAAATACGAAAGGAGAAATTTATTGACATCTGATGACCGCATTCAACGTAACTAAATTACCTTGAGTCAAAAAAACATACAGTTTTAATTTTTTTGGGAATATGCCTCTGGCAACCGTGCCCTGGACTCTAATCACCCCCGACCCCATAAGTGGTATACACAGATGAATCGAAGTGTTTAGATGATTCCACCATACATGATCTAGTGCCCTCGGCTAGAAACATAGAACGTCATAGGTCATTTTGTATGCGTTATGCCATAAAATCTGCAAGCACTTCAAACAAAAGCAAAATCAAAGTGTGTAATTATGTCGAATAAGGGCGAGTTTCACGGAATTGGTTGAATTCCTTCAGTTATCTACTTCTTTCACTCTAGTTCTTCTACCTGTTAGCTGGTCGGTTAAGCTACAACTCGTCATTGAATTACTGCGGTAGCGAATCAAGCAATCGGCAAGTTGGAAATTGTATATTATATATCGTAGCATACTATTTTTTTTTTACTTACTATTAGCACGGCAACATTATAACTTCAGAGTAGCGCCAAAACAAGTGTAGACTGAAAAAAGGCTTCCGCAAGTTTCGCCTAGATGCCAAGTTCACTGTCAGCTACATATATTTAATAGATGCAGTAAACGAAAAAAAGAAGAACAGAAAAAGGACAGACTTCTAAAATATTCGATACCTTGCTTTGTGGATAGCAATGACTACATAGAAACCAGTAAAAAAAAAACTTAGGAAGTTAAGAGAACGAACAGTTTGTGCGAGTTGCATAGATTGAACGAAGTGCTAAACGCAGTACTTTTTGATTGGTTGTACTGCCATTGTTACAATAACTTAGAAAAGTGTCCAAGTTAAGCAAAATGATACTACACGTATACATGAACACTTGTAAATGCTTTATATTTTAAGTCTGGTACTATCATTAAATATTGTTTCAGATGGTTGTTGCCGGCATGAAATTAACTGTGTCTAGGCCTGTCTTTGTACCACCTAGCCAATTTTACGCGTCCTTAACTTCAGTTAGTAGGCAAACCCACTGCTACTGGCCATAACCGGAACACATACTATTCCTAATCTAACGAAAGCCAATCGGTCCATTTGTTATTTTCAGAGCTCCGGCTCCGTGTGCTGAGCACATCGACTAATGTACACGCTTTTATTTATTTGATTTGTAGTATACATACAATGATGGCCGAAATGTTTGTTGCCAGGTGAGGCAGAACAATGCGCAGCATGTGATTAGAGAGTCAGTTATCTCAGGATATTACAGCCGTGTCTTATCGTAATTTTATTGGTACAATGCTAACCGTTAGTCATTTACGCAGACACAGCAACTCGGATATATATATGCATTGCGGCATTTCATCACATGGACTATCTGTTTAGCTTATATCAGGCTACCAAATATATATGTCTATATGAATGCTCAAATATGAGTTTGACTGAGTGCTCCTTTGATTGGTGTAACTTAACGTTAACAGAATGTGTTACAACGGACTGATAACCTATTTAAACTAATGATTAAGGAAGGACGCTAGTGGAACTTGTGGGAGTGACGTATATATTTCATGTAACAGACACAGACAGTGAAGGAAAACAAGTAAACCTTTAAATCGGTGCGTCCGAGGCGATCTATATCATTGTTAAAAGCTCCACAATGCTTAGCCGCAGCTGTAAAGCCTCTTGTTACTTTTGTTTTGCGTATCTTGACCGTTTCACCTCTACTGAGGGTAAGACTTTAGCGGATTATCATGAGAATATATATATATATATATATTCTCAGTGCTTTCTTCACCTTTATGTACCGATTGAAAGGGTTTTCTTCTCTAAGAGTCTGTTGTAATTTTATTGTACAGTGAACGGGATTTTACGTTGAATTGAAACGCTACAGGTAAGGGCCTTAGATTAGAAAAAAGTGCAACTTTGACATATACTTTAATTCGCTTTTTTTTCAAGTCAAACAGTTACCGAAGAGAGAGAACTTTATCATCAAAAGAAGTGGTTTCTCTAAAAAAGCTAGCAACCGACCCTATTTAGTACATTTAGATTGTATTTCTACAGTTAGCAAATAATGAATAACCTACCACGCAAACACATATTTATATAGTCTCAAAATATCCCATAGTGATTGTTTCTTGTTTTTTTTTATAAGTGCTTTTCGAGTGAAACTTTCTTATCTAATAACGAATTAAATTTTAAATTGGCTTAATAAGCTATTAGCAACTTAATCATGATTTTGTAATTAGGTCATATGGTTCGAAATAAGAGTAGATTGAGGTTTTTCCGATTTCGTACTTTGTACTACTAATTGCTCAGCTATCCTCAGAGTACTTGCCTGTCGATTTCTAATAGCCTCCATAGTAAAAGCTGAAGTGGAATGATTGCCTATCCGCAAATAGACATTTCATTTTAATTAATTACTCTCTGCTGTATGATGCAGATGAGTTTCTTTTAAAAAATAACAAGCCGGCTAGTTACTTTTGGAACAATATTATCCAATAATATTTATGTACGTATATGCATATAAGTATCGATCACTTTTCTAGGTAATTAACTTCAAATTCACATATCTCAAATAATATGGGTCGGCGTTGCTCACTTGAAAATTAAGATTTGGAAATAGTAGATACGTTGGAGGTGTTAAAATGCCTTCATTCAGTCTTAAAATAGGACGCCTTGAAGATGAATGAACTTACTGCAGAAATTCGCTGTCCATTACAATTTCATTCACAAATACTATCTAAGCCCATAAAAATGTACTTTGTCTGTAGTCAAGATACGATATTTGAAGAGTCGAGTCCTAGGTGCTTTTTTCGCGTGCTTTTTTCCGGGAGTGTCGATCTACAAGATGCTTCTTGTTATAGCCAACGGCTTATGAAAAAAGCTGTTAAAATTAAGTAGACAAAAGCTTGACGTTTAGGTACCGTACAAACTGTTGCGAAGTGCTTCACTCGACCGTATCAAAATCAAGCCAGTAATCAAAAGTCGATTAGATACGACAATAATGTACAAGCAAAAAATGAAAAAACGGGTTCTACAATTTATGGCAAAACTAAAACAGGATACGGTGGTGCTATTTGTTTAGTAGGAATTGAGCATTATGAGCTGCTGTTGGGGCCCTGCAAAAAATTGAATACGGGTCTCTACTGATAACGATTAACAATAGCCTATTGAAAAAAAATCAATCAAAATTACTCGAACAGAAGAGGCGCCTTGATTATCATGTCCAACTTCATACACCTTTAGCTATGGGGGATCTTTTCATGAACAACTCGTTGTATATATCGTATTTTGCAGTAACAGATTATTGTCTGCTTCTACATCTGTCTACAAAATATTCTTAACGTGGTTAAATCAGTCAATTCGACAGAGGCGTGCATTCTTAGGCTTTTTGCAGTTTTGAGGCCTTTTTGGGTTTATAAGTCTTAACCTACTGTCCGAACGTTAATTCCACTTGATTGTCTTATATTTAGCGTCTTTAAACGACATATTTACGGGTTTACGCCTACCAATACAGACGTTTAGACCCCAAATTGAAGCTCTTATCACGGTGAATGGAAATTATATTGAATTATCGCAGTCACCAAAAACGGCATTCTAAGCACGCGCAAAAAAAACTTCGTTGAAATGCTTACCTTTATTCAGTTACAATCTTAAAACAAAGCATAAAAAAGTGTCCCAATTCGAGCGTCGCATTCTATATATATATATATACAATCAAATTGGTGTTATTTCTTTGTAAGTCGTGTCAAAATTAAAACAGATATCTAAGTGAGATTACTAGCAGGTATTGAGAAGGGAACTTTTTTTTTACAGGGTGTTCTAAAAAATGAACACAATGTTTTGTGCAGGTTACAACATTCCGCTTGTTTCTTCTTTTAATGTGTAATCAATTGAAGATAATAAGTAAATTATAGATAATTTTGAGTAAAAAAAATACTTGTACAAATAATATAAATACTAAAAATAAAAAGAGAATATATATAACCTAAAAAAGTAATATAGTGGGGAGTTCCGGTACATTCACCTCAGTTAACTTTAATTACTAAATTAAGGGAGTTTACTTACTCAGATAAAAGATATGTTTAAAACGAATGGAACTTTTTAAGATGTTTTAACATAGGAAATGTTCCTAAGGATTAAGAACATCAACCAGTTTCATCAGCCAGGAAAGAGCACTGAAAAGTCAGAGCAAAACATTTTAAAAGCCTGTAAGGGAATCAAATCATTAATCATCGATTTAAATCGAAAGTTACGTCCCAACACCGGCACGACCTATTAATGAAGACTAGAGGAAGAGATGGAAATAATTTTGCCAATAGTACTTGACAACATGTTGACAAGATGTACAGATTTCGAAAGTAGTAAAGCTACATTTGATTTAGATGGCAAAATTAATCAACATAATTGCACCTACTGTAAATCCCCATATTACGTAAGAACACCATGATAAGTTACCAGTAGTTACAATCTGGTGAGCCATTTCAAGCAACGGATTAATTGGATAATCCTTTTTGAATAGGACACTAACGGGTACCAATTATTTGACTTTTCTGCAAGAATCTGTTTCATCATGCATTCGGCAAGATGTTGGTGGAGATGACAAATTTTACATCAAATAGGACGGAACACCTTCACCCTTCATCATGATACAGGAGCATATCCTGAGGAGGAGCCTCCAAATAAATGGATCAGACGATCAGACCAAACAGATCAGTCTCATGAAATACTGTGGCCATTTTCTAAACATGAAGCTAATCGACTTTTCCTTCTAAAGATATTTCAAAAAAGTTTACGCTAGAAAACCCACGACACTGAACAGATTGAAAGCCGAAATTCAGCGAGAATGAACCACAGAACCAAATCCAGTTAATATTAATTTTACAGAAAACAGGTCTTGTTCAGAGATGCTAGACATGAAAAATTCAATATCTATATTCTAGGCTTATAATCAACCAAAGCCACGATGGGAGCTCTCTGCTTCGCAAACACAGCTCCTAATTTCTCTCTTAAATCATCAAAAAAGATCTTTGCACCATTTTGATAAGTTTTCGATTTTTTTTTTGTCAATTCATCTTGGTTTAAGGGCCTCTTTCTTTGCCTTATGACGATTTATTTTAGATTTTCGTAAAATGCCCGCAACTTGCAACGATGTGTGCTCTTAATTTCGGTCAACAAAGTACATATACATATATATATTATTCGTTCACAACGAAAGCATTGAACAACGGGTAATTCTAGCTGTTACACAAGAATCTTCAGCCCTCGTGATTATGACTCGGTGACTCTATTCAATAACTGGATGGCTTTGTTTCGATATACTCAATAACGAACGGATAGGCGCATGCCCATTAATAGATAGCCCGCCAAAACGTGTCCAAGCGCATCCCGAACCCCTTGCTGTGTACGTCTACCTTCTTTAGATTGTCCCAGAGCAGTTATTGGTTATAGTTTTCTTTTACAGTAGTACCTTGGCGTACCACACACTAAAAGAGCAAATGTTATTTAATTTATAATAAAGTCGTATGATTTGGTTTTCAAACTAATTTATTAGTTTAAGTCTTTTTTTTTTCTATATGGGAGCTTAATTTGCTTATTGCACCGTCCCAGTTGCTCCAGTGCAATAAAATTGGCCGTTTGGGACAGGAGAGAGCGTTTGCTTCAGCTATATCCCTTTCCCACCGAAGGTCACACGCACCACCCGCCAGTGAATGTTCTCCATGCTGCATCTACTCCCAGTTCGGATTCGATCAAACCGCCCTAGCAAGCACAGGAAAATCTATTGGATGTCACGCTTTGACGGGTGGTCGCATGGAGATACTGTCGTTCGTTTTTCACTAGCGGGCAAAGTTTTTTCAGTCGTCCGCCGCATGTCAAAAATTCGACAGGAAAAGATAGTGCGATGGGGTAGCATGCTTTCCGTCTGAGGTAATGTCAAACGCAACAATGTAGCCTCTCTGCAGAACGACAATAATCGCAGCTTTCTCATAAATGAAAAATAGCAGAACTCTGCATTGAAGTCAAATATCAACTACACAACAAAGAGCATTGTGGATTCACGTGGAGTCACGAGAAATGGCCGTACGTGTCGTTATCGTTTAGGCAAACCTTATCAGGTAAGCCATCTTTTATTTCCAAGATCTTTACTACTTATTGATTAAAAGTGAAATGTTTAATTAAACATTTAATTAAAGTTAAACAGGAGCGATTGCATTTAACACATAGACCTACAGTGCATTGATCGCAGCGCTATCTCCTTGACAGCTAGTCATCCATTAAAAAGCTTTAAGTCACGGCACTTTTATGGAAAAAGCGACAAGTCTCGATAAAAACAAAGCTTAGCAAAGTTAAAACAAAGCTATTTTTGGTCTTTTTCCTCGTTCGTAATATAAATGCGGGAAAGAATAGCTCCACGCACCAATCTTTGGTTCTTTACTGTTTCGTCTTATTAACATGCTTACCTATACCTTATATTCTACTTATTACTTATACCTTTCCTACTTATAATTCAAATGACTTGCGATAAATATAAACAAAGTGTATATTGATACCTATTGAACGTACCAATGGGCCACATCTCAGTCGTGTTCGAACAAATGAACAAGAAAGAAACTGGGAAAGTGGTAATAATTACAGAAATACGTTTATTAAGCTATTTGACAATCAAACTGCGTAAATCTCTATTCGGAAATTTTCCATCGCATTCAAAAAAAGGTCTCGAAAATCGCAGTAAATTCAATCGTACACAACAGAGAAATACATATTTCCTTAGACCTAGCTTACCGAGTCTTATCAAGCGTATATTCCTATTTTCCATCTAGTCTGACCCTCTATAGCATTCTGTTAAGTTCATTCGATACAGTCACATATATTTTAATAGTCAATTTAATGAAATCCTAATGTAACTGATAAAACAGAACAAAGCCATGAACTTCTGTCGATTAAGTCAAATGCTTACGCTTAAATAGTTACGTTTTATTTATTTATTTATTTTTTATATATTTATAGCAGGAACGACACTTGGCTATTATGTGACGCATAGAAAAGATATCGTCTTGTTGGCTAGCGCGCGCCTTTTCAAATGAATATTATTATTATGCATAAAATCAACTGTAGTTACATAGGCCTGCGCGTTTAGTTAACGTTACCTCAAAATACTAACTGCAAAATAAAGTAAAAATAAACAATTCCAAGAAATGTATTTTGTAGAAACTAAATAACTGTTCTTGTTCGCGTAAAATTCACAGTGTGTTATGTCGATCTCTTTATAAATATAGTAGACTCATAATCTAGGAGGCGATATCTCAGCGTAACTTATCGAGATGTATATATCCGGAACTATGGTGATCGTGACAAAAATTTCACGTTAAATTGGACGTAGAATGTTCCATATAGAAATATACTAACAAAAGTCAGTATTCAAGGTACTAGATCGTGTTTGGATATTTTCAATATGGCCAGTTTTTATATTGATTTTTTGATTCAATAACAATAGTATACAATGTCTATAGTTTCCGCAACTAATACTGGATAAAGCCTGAGTACCGCTTGTTAAACTGCACATCCATTACTCTGATGCAATATGACGCGTCATCGTGCTTCTCATTCATAAATTCAAGAAGTTAGCAATGTACAGCTTGATAAGGTACACCGAACTATAGAGCATAGTAAATCACCTTTGCTGATTTTGATCGGAATTTTCAGTTTTTTGTTCACTACTGTAAAGATCTAGAAAAAAGCTACACCGTACGTATTCTATAGTTATATTAATGCTTTATTATATTAGATAAAAAGTTCGTTGAAAAGTTGTCGTCATGACTTACCTGCTGAAGGAAGCAACATTTACGCCACTACGTACCTATTCTTTTGCATTCTAAGGAATACAGCGGTTTCGATTTTTTTTTTTATTGCCAAATACACACATGAGCACTTGTTCGGGAAAGCAGCGCTTGACAAAACTTACTTTTTCTCGTCGTTACAGCATGCTCTTTGTAGTATGTGAGCCGCCATATCTATTAATTCTTATTAGATCGGGTGTTCACGGATAGACAGTGTCTCTCTAAAAACCATGCACGCAACCACATGCAAAGACGCACTGACAAAGGCTTGAATCGTCTCTGTTCGTTTGCAGCGGACGCCAAGTTAGTTATGACGTATGAAATCACCTTTTCCACAGCTAAGGGCTATTGAATCAAGAGATGCCTACAGAACGCAGTAGGTAATGGTAAGATGTATGATAGCTGATGGATACAGACTTAGGCCACGTGTTTCCCCACGTGTGCTCCGTGTCCGCTTTACAGGTTCGTCCTCGAGCGGAAAGGTCTTTCACGTTGTACGACAAATACGAATCGACATGCTATCAAAGGTGAGCCCATATTTACATCAATAGCTATAGTGCTTGCTTGCACAACGTAATGGTGATTGCAACGTACACGCTTGAAAAGACTGATAAACCATATGTTCCAAACACCATTCTGTCCGTATAGTAAGAGACTTATGAGATTTTCCATTGAATTGTGCACCATTATTTTCTACTTTCTACCATTCGGATGTTAACTATTTTAGAATATGAGATTCCACCAAGTAATCTTCTATTCAAAACTTGTTGAGTTGAGATTTTGAAAAACATCGTGATCTGTAGGTATGGTAATGGCCAGCGTAGACGATCATAAAACACAAGTGCTCCTCTTATATTCAATATGGCTGTTGAACGGTAATTTTTTTCATCACCTAACCCAATTATTGTACACGTTACCCGTAATCAACAAACGAGGACTCATAAATCTATAGTCAAATGCAGGTGTTATTGACGTAGGCTTTTGCTTATAGTATACGTTTCAATATTTGCTTATGCCTGTTTGAACCGATTTTGCGCCCCACTCACTAATGTGGCTGTCTATAATTACTAATAGAAAGCCTATTTTCATTGCAAACTACAACTCAACGCAAAAACGGCTTCGTTTTAAAAAACGTGTGGCACCCATATGCCCAATTGTTTACGTTATCAGCTTGACCAAACTGTGTGGTTGCATACAGTGAACCTAAATGTTAATACTTCTGTAATTTGTCTTCTACAAAAGCTCTTAACTCTTCGTTATTCAACTTCATAAGGGTTCTTCGATCAGGTTCATTTTTGAGCCCAAGAGTTTCTTGGCGAAATTTTTTGATGTAACAGCTAACGCAGTTTTCAGCAGTAGGACCATTTACCATATGCAGGATGCTCGTGTAATCCCAAGATGGAACCCATATTCATAAACCATTACAATTTTTAAATATTCAATGGCTCTGTACAAATTGTCTGCTAAAAATCTGAACGACTTAATTCGAGCTGGTCTTAAATTTTTAAGAAAATAGGCCGTGTCAATCTGTCTGCTAAATAAGAATCAAACAACTCTGTTCAAAAACCTCCATCCATACTGCAGAATCTTAGAACGATGTAACAACGAGACCAAAGGTGCGTAATTAGAGTCTATTTGGCGACCTGACCAGGCTAACTTGCCCTTAGCGGCAGTGGTATACGCGTAACATGGATTCGTATCAAATCCTGTTAACAGAACTTCGAAAGGATACGATGTGAGTGGGATAACTATCTGTGTTGGTCGTAACTGAATCTGAACTGGTTCTAACATAAATGCATCACATTAGCTTGATTAACCCAGTAAGAGAAGAGAGCGGCACAGAGCTCGCGGGTCGGACGAGCTCTCAAATACTTGAAAATCAGGCTAAATGACTATAAGAAGAAAAATTCCGGCGATGCCAGTACGACACATTTCATAATGATGGACTTTCTCGAGGATCTCACAGGCAGATTCCGAAACCACACAGTCTGACTACCGAGAATCATTCTTTAATACTTTAATAGATGCGAACCATAACTCGCCATAACTATTTACAAGGCCCAGGGCTAAATGATCAATGATAGCTGAAAAACCTGCCTTCAACCACGGTTAACTGTGTGCGCCAAATATATCTAAGTACTTTTTACTGATAAGGGCGTTCGACGAGGTAGCGCAGTGGATAATGTCATTAACTGCTAAACTTAGGAACATGTGTTTGCTTAGATTTGAATCCGGGAATAAACACTGCGTTTTTGCTGAAAGCCAGCTATCTTAAATAATCCTAACGGCTTAAGTACCGAATGAAAACATGAGTGGAAGGCACAAGCCTCCATCCATTGCCATACGCATTGGTCTACAATTTCATGCCCCAGGAACCAGAATCTCTAATCCGCACATTTGAATTATAGTGTACTACCTCCACGTACCACAGGCCTCGCTTGGTTTTCACTCACCATCGGATTTCACTGTTCATATTCATGACATTCCGATTTCTTTTTATCAACATTGGGCCGAGAAACCCGCGTCCCTCTGCACCAGGTCTCCAGACCGATTTCAGGAGTAAAGAATCATATTATATAAACTGATCAAAAATTTACCGCTGGCTCTCCGTACGGTACGCGCCTGGTTACTTTTTCACCAAAAGCAGTCCTTTGCAAATGAGCTCCCGTTCCGTCACTTGCCCACGATGCTTGCGATGATGATGATAGATCACGACCTGACGAGGCTGATTTGCCCTTAACGGCAGTGCTATTCGCGCTCCCGGGTTTGCTCCCGTTCTCTACAGACGAGCTAAAAATCAGCCGAATGCACAGTTGCTGCACGCTCTTCAAGACTCGTAGTTTGGTCACTTACATAAGTTGAGTCAAGCGCGGCTTCCTTTATGCGACAAAATTATTTCAGAGGTGGCTCATCTTTTTGCGACAAACCACATGAAAAGGCTTTTAAAAAAATCTCCTTCCAAAGGGGTCGCCTGAGCATTCCCGTTTCGTAAGAGGAACGGGGAGATTTGAGCTGTTTATGTGCGTTAAACGAGCGCGGCTGTACAATCTGCTGAGCGTCGAGCTCGGATTTAGCGTGTTTTCTACGAAGGACAGCGAAATTGGTAAGTTTCGCTTTCGGCCAGAGCCGAATTAGTTCGTATGGTTCGAGATCAATGGCGGAGGCGCGTAACGCGTGACTGGAATTGCGGTTGTCATGGCAGGGCAGGCTGGGGTGGCCAGCTTCAGTTATGTTGGCATTGTGAGACGTAAAAGCGGTGCTGGCACACATAGAACGATAATCGATCAACCTGCTTGCTCGTCATTCAAAATGTAAAAATAAAAAAATGTAAAAAGTTTTACATTGGTTACGGCACATGAAATAGCCAGTTCTAGATGTTTATTGCGGGGAAGATGGAAGGTTCGCGTTCTATAAAATCACACTTATATCTGAGTGTTGACTTAATAAGATCGGCTGTGTAATATCGGATGCATGCCGACGTGGCATTGTGCGTCGGCTGATTGCGTACTATTATATTGTACAGGAGGGTACGTGCTGGCATGTTCGTACATCCATGGCTGTGACGCGTGCTTGCGTGAGAAAGAAGCTATAACTGAAAAAGTTGAGTGCCCGTGCTGCACAGCGACGCGAACGGCCACGATAACTACGTCTACTGTTTCAATAACACCATGGAAGGCTCGTTATTGTGGGCCTGTTGCCTCGAACACGTTACGCGTTATTACGGCGGCAAAAACTGGTAGTTATGACAGCGGGTGGTCCGCTTTGAGAGAGATGGAATCCTGCGCCACATACGTGCTAATAGATCATCCAGACGACCTGAGCTATATAGCTTGAAGGGCTAAACCCATTGAGTTGCGTCGGATATCGACCGCCGTACCATAACATCTCGCCGAAGCCATAAAATCCCGCATAAGCTCTACGGAGTGGTAACAGATGTAAATTACATTAGATGATTTTAGCGCAGAGCAAGCGAGTATTAAGCACTTGTCACCGCGGGCCAAAAACATTCATTGAAAAAAACATTGCAAGATCTAGCACGAAAAGCGACGGCCGACTGATAAATTTTAGTCATTTTTTAAATGCGCAGTAAATGTGCTGGTAGTCATGCCTAAGAGGATAAGACACATAGGGCAGATAGGAGATTAATATCACATTGTTTCCTGTTTTAGAGGTACCCGAATTAAGAATAAAAAGCTGATCAAGGTGTTAGACAAACAGGACGGGAATAACAGAAAAATACAAAGTAAATGAAAATTATGACAAAAAAACACAGGTGAGACTAAAAAGGCGCGCAAAAATAAATTTCTGACAATTTCAAGCTGCGTGCGTCGGCATAGTTTGGTGTATTTTATGCGCAGTTTCCTTCGACATCTTACTAGAGATGTTTCTCGAATTTGAAGATTTTTGTGATTGTTTCACTATGGTTCTCGTATCAATAAGTCCAATTCAATTCGCTCTGACTGTTGGTTCTATGATATACAGACCAATAGATCCTGATTCAAAATGATTATCTATTTGATTCAAGTAAAATTTGCATGAGATTTGAATATATAGAACGTGTACGGTAGTTTTGACCGTACACGTTCTATATATTCAAACATATATATAAGTTGACCCCAGAATTAGAAAAACGTACCATACTAGGTACGGAAAAAAGCTAAAGGGTAAATTATCAATAAATTTTCTATTTATAGAAAAATCTACGTAAGTAAATAGTGAATCCTCTCGATATGGATTGTTAATTCGTGCTGAAAGACGCAATCGAGTGAAACCATAGTGTCTGGTGGTGTACACAGTTTAAACGAATTGTAACCAATTAATGGGGCAGATTTCTAAATAATTCTAAGTTATTAGTCCGATAGAAAACGAGTGACCTTTTAAGAAAATGTTTACATTAGAAAATATGCCAGGATGCTTGTCGGATATGAAGGTGCAAATAAATAGTCGTGCAACTTGTTGGCAAGTATAATTATGATTATAAGAGATCTTGAAAGTAGTTCACGTTTTCTTCATGGTGAGAAGATCTGAAAGCCATTTCATGTCGAAACTATTTTTGTCGTTGAAAGCGTTCGACCTATTTCGGAGATCTTGGCATATCTTTAATGTCGATTATCGCAAACTATATTCATCTATAAACCCTCAATAACGCGAAAAAGTAGGGGTCGCTTATTCGAATTTAGAAAATGTTGAACGCGTTCGAAATGTATTGAAAATGTACTCTCGTCGTAGTAGTAGTAGTATAAGCATAAGTATCTGACAGGTGTACAGAAACCGAAAGCTGAATTTGGCAGAAACGTACCCGCCAGTAAAGTAAATTAACAAACACTTAATTCGCAGCAGTATTAATTATTTTGTTCAAGCACAGGAAGATCCTTCTAACCAAAAAAGAAGCCAATAAAGGGAGACATTTCCCACAAAGAACGAAAAAATGTGTCTCGCAGTTCCTGTGTAATTGAGCAAGTTCTACTGGAAGTTTTAAAGAAAAAGCCAGACATCTCAATATCTTCTACAAGCGTATATGACAAACTATATGTGAACGAAATTGCGCATTATATAGAAACAGTCTGTGCACTGCACTCAGTCTGCGCTCGTTGATGGGTAGAATAGTTCCGGTGTTAATCGATGTGAACGCTGGTACACTTTATCTCAGTTCTTTTTCCGGTGCTAAAAACGTGATTTTACAGACAACGCGCTAACCCATAAAAAACAGTAGTGAGTAAGAAAATACCACCCAATCATCATCAAACTAAATTATGATAAAAACCACAACGATGATCCTGTAGAGACTTAAAGGAACGACATTTACAATCAGGTACCTGCGATTTATTCGGCCGTAATTTATTTTAAATTCTAAAAACTAAACCTTCGAGGGTCAGAGCGCAAATGTTCGACGATGGAGGAAGGGAACCGCAGTTAATCTCTCCCCTGTGAGTTGTTGTGATAGCAGCGCCATGGTACGTCTGGGTCAGGGAAGCCACACACCAAAAGCGCCTCCAAAGGTCACAACGTGAGAACAGAGGCAGTATCCTTTCTGAAAGACAAGTGTCTACCGATTACCGTAAACAGTAGTCCTCCTATGATACATTAGACGTTATTGGAAGTGGCGTAATTCCCCTACCGAAACGAATACTGGGAGTTGATGATAGCTTTCACTTTCTACCGAACCGAGGCGTCGTTTCCAGTTGCCAGCACCTCCAACACCACAATAATTCGACATCATTCGAGAGCGACGCCTTACTAAGAAGTCGTTTAAATTTCTCGTAAGCATGCAACCCTCTGGACGCATGCAAAGATAGGTTACCAAGGTATCTTAAGTCAGAACTGTGTACTTTTACTTATTAGTTATGTAGGCAGATATGGTTCATGTTGTTCTTAGTAGAACACTTCAGTTAAGATCCTATATTTCAATATATCTGCAAGTATTTATTTTTACATAGCCAATTTGATCAGGATGCATAGTTGGTCAACTTAAAGCTGACTTACCGACTAATTCAGACCTAATGTTACACGCAGTGACATCATTGACTATGGCCCATGGCACGTTTGCCATGCGCTAAGGGATCCTCGCCAGTACTTTGCTTGGGCGCACTGTGACAGCTATAAGGTTAGACCTAACGAACCTAGCCTAGCGGGCTATAACACGATAGAAGTCTGCGTGCATCGACAAAACTGCGTAGTATGATGCGATTTTAGCTGAGAGAGTTGTTGAGAACCTGCCGCTAGCTGCTATGTCAGTGCTGCTAATTCAGAGTCTTCGTGGCCGTCTAAGAAGTCGATAGCTTCTGTCAGCTATTTATAACAAGAGTACATAAAGCACTTCTCTCAGATTTTATCCATGGTGAGCAGAGACGCGTACTAGGTACCGCAAGATAATACCATAAACGATGGTCCGGTACGATTAGTAATTGCCGCGTTTCCTAGGGCTAGCACTTTGTGACAGTAGGAGAGACACAGGTCTCTGGTGAAAACACCGAACGGTTGTGCTTCCAGTTTTCGATATTTTCAACGTCTTCGAGACGCGTCTCAAAGCTAAGGCCGTTTGTTGGTGCGACAATTTGATATACCTGTGCAGAAGAGGCAAAAAATTAAATTAAAATACCCAGCCAAATACAACGAACATTTCCGATGTGCTTCGTTTGATACTTCATCTACCTTCACTATAGCTTGTGTCGTTGCGCATACAAGCAGCCGTATTCTAGGTAACTACCTATCCAGATTTAGATCCATTATTTAGTTCATTGTTTTATACTCATCTGCATTAGCGACAAGGTTTCGCAGTAAAAATTGCCATCGTTACAAATTCTAGTGTTGAAATGTTCCGTGCCTGATTCCTATGTATTGTTCTTCGGAATGATAAACAACATGGTTCTTCAACAATTTAGATCACATCCATGCATATTCTTCCAACACAACAGTGCTGACCTTTTAGCTCATCAGATGACAAAAAAGTTCAACTATCTGTAGTCTGTTTAGTATAGTCTTCTTCTGTGCAACTTCCTGGTTTATCCTGGATTTATATGCGTCTACTGTGCAGTGTAGAGTTTAGCTTAAGAGTGCATTGGTTTTCTGGCCATCTTTAGGGAAGCTTCGACAACACAATGCGTTACCCTCATAGAGATAAAAGCCTTGGTGCCTTATGAAGGCGATTTTTGAGATCGAATGAAAGCTGTGCGCTGAATATGCACATTTGTTGCTGGTAGCCAGCTACAATAATGCCTGGACATGCATAAAGGAATAGAGGTAAACAAAAAAATCCAGGCATATTTAGCCCCAGTGTCTACTTATTTGAATAATAATAAACAGTATTGGCGTTATTTTTCTATCAAATTATTTTTAGAGGGCTAACTCCGACCCGGCACTGGTTTACGCAAAAAGTTTCTCATTTTAATTGTTTACAATAATATATTATACCTACGAGTTTGTTTTTAATTTATTATGTAGATTATGATGTTCAAAAAGTGACTGATTTGCTATTCTATTGTTTAATGTGTCTAATTCCCGCGAGGTTGCCACAGCTTCTGGTCTACCGCCAACGGAACAGCGAGCGATTCAGTTTTATTAGGGTACATTATGTTTTACTGGACCATCCATTGCAAAGGTATAATTAGAGTCCGGTTTTATGGAGTTTATCTCTCAGCTCGTTTCACGGATCGCTTCAGAAACAAAAAAAAATTTCTCTAGCTAAATTCAGCTCATTGTATAGTTTAACTTCACTAACTCTGTTTAAATAATAATTGAGACTCGACTACCTTTCATCCTCTACGAAGAATAATTAGATTGCTTTGTGTGTAAACTTACTTGATTTGTACCTTTTCGTTTGAACGATTTATCTTGATGAAACAATTTTAATGCTACCATTGAACTAAAAATATTGAGATATGAATTAGGTGTGAAAGCTCCAATTGTGCGTCATCTTTATGTTACCCTTTACAAAAGTTATATAGATATTTTATATATATATAAAAAAATATAGACAGTTCAATCAAAGTATCGCAGATTATGGTGATTAAAGGCTTTTCAATGACCTATGGAATTTTTGGCTTTTAACTTAACTGGAGGCTTCTGATAGGAACTGCAATCCCTGAAGCCTTTGAAATTTTCGATTGAACGCTGAATATACTTAATAAAACCATAATAATGGGTTAACTTACTGTTTTGACTGTTTTTTCTCGTAAAGGCATTCTTTCCGCTTGCTTTACCTGACGAGCAATGGACACGGTGTGGTGGCTCCTGGAGGAGTCAACTCCATACGGGGTACTTTTTTTCAACAATGTCATATTCTCTTTGCTACGTAACATTGAATTATTCGTTGTCAAGGAACGCTTCGTTAGAACTCGCGTTATGCTTCAAGAGTTCACTGCAACATTGGAACTCTGCGCAGACGTTGCAGAATTGGGTAAGTGTTTGTTAATTTAGAATCTGGAACCGTCAAGTTTATGGTTCGAGGCCTTCACGAGGCCTAGTACTGATGCCAAAAAACCATTCTGTCGTTTATAGAATTAGTTAATACGTTACTCGGGAAGCTGTTAATTCGTAACGCTCGAACTATGCAGTTACAAAGAGGCCTGCACGCTTCAATAGCTGGTACAATCTAAATGAAAATTTTGACCACACAATATATCAAGGTACATCTTCAAAATTTTAAATATTTTCATGAATATAAGATTCAATACATCGTTACATTACTTTGAAGCTATGGTCTTCGAAGCATCACAAAACCTGAAAAACCCTCTTCGTTCTTGATGAAAACTAGCATCACAGTTTCTAAGTGGGGTAAATAAAACGGTGTTGTTTATTTAAGAGCAAGTCCGGTGTTTTCTATTAGGAATAGGTAGATTCATACCATTGTCGTGATACAGCAAAAGTTTACACCGAAGCTAGTATAATGGATGCGTTACAATATAGTACACCAGTACTAGTTTAATGAAAAAATCATTAAAAAAACATAGAACTAGCTGTGCGACACCCGCTTCGCATTCAAAAATAAGGGGCATGAAAAATTATTGACCATGAACTGGCTGTTACATTTTCACAGTACAATACGTTTGTTTTGCCATTATTTTTGCTTTCTTAAGCCTATTATCGACTAGGAAAGATGCACAACGCCGAGCGTAGATTGTCAAGGGGTTATCGTTGATGAAATGCACTTTTAGATCTGTCAACCAACGAGTTATATTAAATAAGCCTGAAGACCACAAATGCCACTGGTATTCCTAACTTTGTTTTTCAAAATCCTTCAAAAGCAAAGTCTCATTCAATCGGTATTAGCTCATCTTAGTCTTTTTTTGTATTGTAAAATTACCTTTCGATTTATTAATACCATTTAAATGCACTCAAATTTCAGCAGCGTAGAAATTTGAAATTCGTGTTCTTTTTTTCTTAATAATTCCGCGTTCTTTCCCACTGTATGTAATGGTTCAAACAGTTGCCGATCTTGTCTTTCCGTCCAAAACCCATCCGAGCAATTGGGCCAAAAGAAATAACCTGGCAGAAGACTGTGGCAATTTTTACATTTGCCAATTCGTTGATTTGACAGGTTGACCCACCGCTCTGATGTCCATTCCGTGTATTGTAGAAGAGTTATCTGACGGCTGTGATATTCAGTTAGATCGTATAGTTAGTTGCAAATGCAGATTTGTCAAACGTACAGTTTGCTTTTCCCTAGGTATCGATACCGCTTTTTTATCGTTTAAACTATTACATGCTCTAGGTCAACGGATCACGTGACTATTTTGACCCTCGGTTCTGTATGTATGATGCGTGCATTGGCTTAAACAGAAAGCCTTGTATCTATGCAGCTCGCCCGAGCGAAGCACGTATCTACGGTTAGACCGATTGCTTGATTCGTAAGAAACCACCTTCGCATGTTTTATATTTACCTTTTGGTTTTCCGAGTACGTTATATTCTGATACAATGGCGTATAGCTTTGTTTAGTTGCTGCTTCGCTCGTGGTTGGATATGGATTGAGTTTAGGTATCGTATACGAACGGCACGGGATGATTGCATACACCATCTTCTTACTACTGTGGTGTCTCTGGTGGGGCAAACACTTTGGAGATGCGGAAGCGTGCCCGAACGGTCCTGTAGAAGATTTACTCTTTGGCTATGGAGCTGGAGACTATAAACCACGAATACTCGGTCAGATTCTCGGAGCCGTCGCAGCCGGAACGTAAGTCAATGTGTCCACTCTCCACCCCGATCCATCAGGCCTATTTATATTGCAAAAAAAGTTTATAAAAATCAACAAGCTGATACCAACAATCTAGAAGTAGGTGCCTAGCTTAATGGTAATTAAAATTTGCGGTACCTAAGCGCTTCGTGTGCATATATATGATATATAGAAGTTCGGAGAAAGGTTTTCACAGACGCTAAATCGCACTACGATTTTCGTCGTTCTAAAGGGAGGTCTCATATGTAATGCCATTATTATATGTAATCTATAGCAAATGGAACAGATCTGTTAAAACCACATTTTTTTGAGATCCATAGCACACACCTGAAGCATAAGAAAATGGGTTACTACGCCGATAGCGCCTTCGATAGAAAAAATTATGGATCTAGTTCCAAATCCGCGCTAATCAGTGACACGTGTGGAAGGGCTCATCATGAAACACACATAGATTTCACTGTGAACTTTGTTTGCTTAAGAAGCCATTAACATAAGAATGAGCCTCATCGCATAATTTCGTTCTGTGACAATGTATTACTATATTACAAAATATCTGTGTTCATTTTTAGATACATCCAACAGATCTGGGGTCTGCATCTGATCGAACAGCATAAAATTATGACCACCGAAGAGTGTCAGAGTAGTCTTATGGTACGTATGATTATTATTATTGAATTTCAATAACAGTTTACCCATTTCTTTCTCCGAGTTCTTGGAGATATACTTTTCGCAGTAGTAGCAATAGTACGGCCATCGCTGAACCTAACATATCCTGGAAGTAAAACCAAAGTCATTACTATTATTCCAATAAATTTGTATTTAAAATCTAACTAACAACGCTTCTTTGATCGCATACGCCTACACAACTGATTTCTGCTTAACATCGCTTATTGGTTGTGTGAACAGAGATTCTTCGATGTTCCCTCAATTTAGGTAGAAGCATCAGTGAACATCAGCTAACGCGCTAGTGTACATATTGAGGACGTCTTCCGCGAGCAGTCCTCACCGCGCTACTACGTTGTGCGAAGTATACCGTATTTTCATTTAGAACTCCTTCCAATTTTTCAAGACGGACCTACCTGAGTGAATGCTCACATTCCTTAGCTGCAGCTTTCGGTTGGACCAATATGTTTAACGTATCGTAGCCGCATTCAAAATAATTATAGTTTAATGTTGTTTAACTGTGTTTGTTATTTTCGCAGACGACCATTGGCTGGGGTTTTCTGATGGAGGCGTCTCTATCCTGTGTGTCGCGCTTTTTCGTCCTGCGCTCTCTATATTGGACTGAAAAAACCTCGTTATGGATCAACTCAGTTGTGACTGTTATCCTTTGTCTCGTCGGTACGTTTGCCTCTACATTAGGAAATAGTGACTCTCGGTAATCGTACGCGTCAGGATGTTACGCTTATCTTGCAATTGAAAGGACGCTTTCATTTTATTATTAGAAGCTGGTTCTTTCTCATTCAGTATTAGCTAATAACTGGATGGAGCCGCAGGCTACATCCTACGCCTTTGGTTGATCTAATTCGTTGATATTATACCTAGCCTTTCGTATCCCACATAATATGTTTCATCACTCTGTCTTAACATGGACGAATCTAATTGCTATTACGGCTAGACAAGCGTGATTCTTTTGGTATGTTTCAGCATCGATTGTGCTATACCTTTGCAACTATCCCGTCACAACAGTTCTCTTTTTCTAAGTCAATCAACATTGCCGACACCGTTACATTGGCGCAATTACCCAATTAGTCTATTCGAAGGGTTGATCAATTGCCATTGCCATATAGCGTGCGTCTCGATAATACTTCTAGAGAGTGAGTTCGAATCCAATGAGTCAATTTTTGCCTCATATGTCCATGCAGGTTGGACGCCCGAAACCATCTTTGCCGTGTTCCAAGCTTCCACGCCGTTACACTTACTCCCAGTCTTCCGTTAGAACATAGCTGTGACCTTGATCTGGTATTTTTTTTGCGTTTTTCGCTACCTCTGCTCATCCATCCTAACTCCCGCACGGACATACCTCATTACATTCTAACCATATGAAAACAAATCACAATTACATCCGAAAATTGCCAAATAAATGTAAGAACTCGACGTATTTTTCCGAAATCAAGGTCTGTGCCTATTTGGAAGCGCTGTTCTGGTCATATCGAACGTGGGAACTAGGCGGACGCTATAAGTTAATGTATTTTTATCAAAAAACCGGCTATCATAAGCTTGAACTGGACAACCATCATTTAGGTGTAATCATTGAACTGCCTTCTATCCCGTATGTTACGAAACAAGCATATTTGATATGTCTTCACTGAACGGTTCGGATCAGTCGGATTCAAATACTGGTAACGTGGATATATATATATATATGTATGTATATTGCTCACATTTTATTATCTATTGACATTGGGTCGACTTTGCAGGTCTCAATTCTACTGGTGGATACTTCAACGGTATCTTGGCTTCAGCTCTTATGTTTGGCTGTGGACCTCATGGCTACTTTGAGCATTTTGTTGTATATTGGTTGGGTAACCTCTTGGGCGGATTTTTTGCAAGGTACCTCAACTATAAGCTTGATTGTTTTATAGACAGGTAAGATTTTTGGGTTTCCTAACAAAAACAACTTAAACACTAACCCAAGCTTTGTCCAATGAGCTTGAAATAAATAAATATTAGATTTACTATAAAAGCCGGGTTTCAAAACAAGGCTTTTATAAGGGTCATGCCGTTTTTGTCTGGTAATGCGTAACTCTAACGACGATCTTTGATGACGCATTCGTTTGTGGCCTTACGATAATGATTGCATCATGGACTCTTTTTTAGGATCTGTACACCGGAGACTATCCTAAATTCCGATGAGAAGCCTAAGCAGAAGTAGATCGCATCCTCTTCCTGGCAGATTGAGGGGAGGTCACGCTCAATGTCTTTACCTTGTAAATATCTAGCAGGGGATGTGGAAAACTTGTTAATCCACTTGTTACTATTGTCGCATATAACATTAGGCAAGTGTGATTGAATTTTTGTAGGTCGTTACTTTGTTAGGCGTAAAGCAAGACCTTTTGTGAGAGCTAATAAATTAATTAAAGCAATAAACCTGTTATGATGTCATTTATGTACACTTCTGTAATGTTCGCCTTATTTTCTCAACAGGTCTCTTCTGTCCTTGTTTTTGCTTCTACATTACTTAGAGTGCGCATGGCAATAATGAATGCGTCCAATGTTGCAAAACAACGGTTTATTATCCGAAACTCTTTAATGATGTAAGCTTTAATTTATACAAGGGTTGCTAGAATACACTAGGTAGCTTATGGTAGCACTCATCGGTGAGGGCTGTATTATGTGTGTGCGTCTTTTTTTATTGATTCAAACATTTTTATTACCCATGCATCCGCTATGCCCAGCCAAATTGTTTTCGAAATGGGTACTAATACTAGCCAGCAAGTGAGCTCAAAAAATTTCTTCATAGCGGGAAAGCTGCCACTGCGTTAGTCATGTACTAGAAATCCAGGATACGGATCTGGGCATGCTAGAACAAAATAAGAGATTGTAGAAGCGTCACCATGGTAACTTAGTTTGAAACAATATTTCTTGTACGATGACACTTTCTGTTGTTTACGTTATCTCTGATACGCTGCTTACAATTCAAACAAATTAATTATAAAAGATCTTGTTTCTGTTGATTATAGTCTTTATACAATTTCGAAGTTTTGTCATTTGCTTTTTGCCTACTTAATGCTTTTGGCTATTTTCGCTAGGTGAATAGGCCTCAGAATCATTTCTTAGGCGGGGAATAAAGGAATTTCTCCCACTAACGTTTAGTCCGGATGAGTCTTGCTCGACTGCTTATCTGGGGTTTCTGCAAAAGAGCTATGAAACACCGTAGCAACTACACAATCATCCCATCACCGCAGCGACAATTTTTGCCTCCATTAGCAATAGCTGCATGCTCATTCGTTGTTTGTTGCCATAGCAACGCACTCACAGATACGCATTAGTCACCCAGATTACGCTGCCTATCTCTTTATACAGTAAACGAATGTCACGGGAAAAAAACAGAGTTGGTCCTTTGCAGCTATTAGTATTTGTTGGATACATTAAGATAAGTAAAAATGGGCATAACTTTAAGCCATATCTCTGTTCCTTTTTCACCTTTAAGCTTCCTGGTTTTTTCCTCGTTTTCAAATTTCTTTGCGCGCTCTATTCTTATTATTACTTTAAGATACCTACAATTCCTAGCCTATTGTGGCTCTTTACCTCTGATTCTATTATTATTTTTGTAGTATGTATTTTTCTGCCGACCGACGAAACCTAAGCGGTTAATGCGTATATTCCAATCTGCGTTGTTGTATTCATAAAAGGACAGTCACTTTAGCCAATACTTGTTGCAGATCTCAACGTTGATCAATGAGGTACAAAAGCTGCTGATACGGCTACCCCGTCGCATCATCGAACGTCAGTTAGAGAAACGTCAAATATATATCTAGCCAGGCTCTCTAGGCTGTCTTTGGCGATTACTCCTGTCAGTATAAGGCACCAGGAGAAGATCAAGTCTTGTAGCAGTAATTCTTTCTTCTATCATAAAATCGTTTACCCTTTTTCCCTTTCTTCAAACTTGTATTGTATTTTAATGTAATTAAAATTTTAAATAATAATTTAATTTTAAATAATATAACAGTTTTTATCCACTACTGTTTGAAAAATCTGTCATTACCTCTTGAAACATAGGCTATCTTTAGATCTAGGTATGCAGTAATTCTTATTTCCTCAAGGCTCGTTTGCTTAATAGTTTTTTTATTTGAAGTTAAGTAGAAAGACGCTTATGCCTAATCTTTGTACGTCCCTTACGAAGCTTACGTTGCAATTCTCCAATAGATATAATTTCTTTCATTCGATCATCGATTATTTACTCAAAAATGTTATATGGTATAATCGTTATCGAAAAGGATAATTGTTCTTAATGCACGATTATTTACTTTTTTATTTGGTAACAGAAATGCTATTCCTTTCTTGCAGGCTGCCGGTATGTTTTCCCCGCCGCGCGTTATAATCTTCGTTACCTGTTCGTTGTTAACTCCAAGCTTCCCCGTACACCAATAACGTTTCTATAATTTGATTTGTTTCCATAACAAAGCATGTTTTTTTCTTGTTCTCTTAATACAACCCAAAATCTTGAGCCATTTGTAGACCTACTGCTTTTTAAACTACTTAGTATTCACCTTTTTTACTGCGTGCGGGATTTATGAAGCCGCCAATCTGTATGTCGTCTTATAATAATATTTTGTTTTTTTCCCCTGTTGCCTGTTATCCTGCTTTCGTAGACTTTTCGTACTTATTGTCCTTTTTATTGCTTCCTCTACGCTACCATTCCAGTATCCAATTTTTACGCCTTTTACGTTCCTCATGATAGTTTTACAACGATGTTTTGTGCGGTTGAACTATCTCTGAACTCTCTGTACCTACTTCTAATATCCTTGGATTTACATTTTTTTTTTATCTATGTATGTTCAGTAGGTTCTTTTTGTTTTTGTTTTTTCGCTTGGGTGTCCCATTTAGCTTTATCTAGTAGTGGCGGCTTACTTCAGTGATGACTGGACTGGTACCATAAGCTAGTCTTGCGCATTTCACGTGTTGAAATTTGGTGCACTCGGAAACCCACCTAAATTGGGCAGGGCAAAAAAGCGTTAAAGAGAGAGAAATTCGAGCCGACTAAGTTGGTAGCTTGTGTCTGCCCATCGGAGTTCAGAATTATAGGTCGTAGAATAGACAGGCTTATTTCATGCTAGAGCGTGATGCAATGCCAAAGAGACTGCAGATACACAAAAATGCAGGATTTACCTATTCAGTTAACTATCGTCATCTTCTGCGTTGCACTTTTTTGTTGTGTCTATTTACGTTTCTGTTAGCCTGTTTTCTATTTCCTCAAATATTAATTTTAAAAGTATTTACTTAATTTATATATGGGTCTTTTTACTTTGTATATATATATACATATATGCCTTTTGTATCTCTTTTCAGATGTACTAAAACCAGCCTTGTTTCCTATGCAATGTCCAACGAACACGCTCCTTTCGTATCTTGTCAACTAAGCTGCGGTCTGATGTATGTTCCACATCCCCAGTTATACGGCTTATTTTTTAACCTCGCTATCCTTCTAGAATATTTTTTGTACTTCATCATTTATTTTCATGTTGTCGCCTCGATCGCTTTGAATAATTCCGTCTTGATACATCATTGCTAGTATTTATTAGATCAGTCGCTTCCCCTGTTTCTCCCACATACACTGTTCTCTAATTTAGGCGCAACTTTTTCCTTGTTTTCCAACGGCTTTCACCGAGGTATTATTATATGACTTCCCTTATTTTTCTTTTCGGGATCCCCTTCAGTGCTCAGCGTAGCTACTGCTTTGATAGAAACGATTCTATTCACGCCTGCTTTTTTTCTTTGTATCTCTTTCCTTTTCTATTAAAACATTTAGTGAAAACTGGCCAGCTTATGTTCCTCTGTCTGCCTTACGAACATCGTAATATTAGAAGCGTCGTAAACGGATCGTTCGGCGTTTAGGTCTGACAGTATGCTTTCTGATATGCCTCTTTCCTTTAATTTGCCTGCCTAATACGCTTATTATCCTTATGCACCGCACTTCTGAATTGGCACATCTCCGCAACCAGACTCAGCACACTATTTCGGTCATCCATCTAGTTCCTTTAAGCGTTCCTATAATGTTCGGTAGACCTCAGAGGCAAATATTCACTTTGTTTTTTCGGTAAACCTTTTTCGTTTACCTTTCTCGCGCCCTAAAAGTAGCCTTGAACATTATCTCCAGTGTATGGCATCGAGCTTGCTATAAGTACGTGACATTTCTTTTCTTGCACCTATTTATTATTTCCGTTAGTTAAGCAATTATCACATCTTGGGTCTCTTCCAAACTGGCACCCTAAAATACGCATTTGCTATTTCGCGTCGCCATATGCTGGAACTTGCTTTTCGATTGTTTTTTCATATCTCTTTTTAGGTTTTTTACACCTCCGGTCCAGGTATTCTAACGGGCTTCTTTCTTTTGTTATTGTTTTTACGTCTTTTCCTTCACTTCATCACTCTTCTCTCTCATCCGATGGATGAGAGAGAAGAGTGATGATCACCTATTCTCACAGTTTATTTGCCATTTGATGGGTGCTGCGCCCCAAGCATTCTCCTAGCTTTATTCCGCTTGCCCTCCTCATTTGCCTTAGAAAACTAAGAATACCGCATGTGTTCAAATTGCATTAACACCCCTTGTTGCCTGTGAAGGATCGGTCTAGACTGGATTCAAAAAGATCCCGACCCGGTCTTCGCTTGCTTTACCCCTTTGCGTTTCTTTCATCTCCATCTTCGATTAAATTCGTTTTTCTTAGAAAAGAAAAACGAGCTGAATTTCCTCCATGCTCCCGAATTTTGAACCAACGTATGCGTATACCAAATTTTACACCAAAAGACAAACATGTTTTGTATAATACATGCATGCATAATCATTTAACGCAAAACTCCGTGAGACGGTAAGCAGCAGGAAGAGACGATTGCTTATCCAATTTTATTAAGGTTTCTACCTGAGTTGATGACCTGTTAGCTAGCAACATCTGTTATCCCCGATAGCAGAGAATTTATCTTTTAGCCATGCAGGTAGGGGCTTCAATAGATTATCCAAACCGGCAAACGTAGTAGAATTAGCGGGCTTTCGATACCAAAATGTATGTAGTTCCACCTATGTAGGAGAACCAATTTATTGTTTTAATACTTAAAAAAGCGTAGGCCACAACCTTGCTCAAAACGCTATGCAGGCTATTTATTTCTACAAAAGCAACTGAAAAGCTGGGTTTGAAAAACTAGCTTTGAAACTGAACTTTCAGAATAAACTTATTTTTATATATTGTACAATCAGTTCCATAAGTTTGAGAGTACACATATTCAACATTCTACTGCACTTCAGGAAGGTCTTACTTTCCAAAAAAGGATCGCCTTCACCGTCCTTTTTAAATTCACTCAGCCTTTAAATTCAATTGCAATACAAACGTACCTAATTTTCATAACTATAAACATATTAATCTCATGCTCACATTTTTCTGATATGAGTACTGAAGCTTCACAGGATTTCTGTCATCACAGCTAAGAGAGGCCCTTCTTTTTGATCAGTAAAAAAATTAAGTTAGTTAAGTTATGTATGTAATCTAAAAAAATCGATTCGAGTTTCAAGCGCAAATCCTTTTTGGCATAGAAAGGTGTATTATTAAAATGGTCATTGTTACAGACTTCAGTGCAGCGCAAAGGTTTTTTTTTATCGAAATTGTTCTGGTTTCGGGCACTCACCAGAGATCATTCGCTTGCGGCCCGATTAGATCAAGCTGAGCAATCTGATCAAGCATAGCATCTGTATGAACCGGGCAGTCCGGTTTTTCGAGATATGTAGCGCATCATCCTAAGCAATTTAACGTCACCATGTATTAAATATGGCAAGTTTGAGAACGCCAGCCATAAGGCCATGATTCCTTCGGCTTTTTCTCCATCATCTATAATGAAAGACCGTTTCTGTTTGCATCAGAAAAGATATTATTAAGAATATTGAAATTAATGTAATAATTATTTGTGACTAAGATTTTTTGTCAAATATGTCGGCGTCAGTATGACCAGATCGAGTCCATGCGAAGTTTCTTGATCACTGTAGAAGGATATTGCGTATTTGTTAATAATTTTAAACTATAACTTACTAGATTCCATTACATAATGTGTTCAGTCGAACATACGCGTCTAACATGAGGAATCAACCAAATGAAGTCACTATTACGAAAGTACAACAATACAAAAAGGGACATTTTTTATTTTTAAACCTGCTGTGATACCGCTAATGGCCTCATAAACTTAAACTCGATTGCAGTGGTTATTCAACTTGCTGTATACTTATTCTAGAGATCATTCCTCTTGGGATCCTCTTAAAACTCCATTGTCAAGGTAGGTTCTGATGGGATATATGCTTTTGCAATAACGACGGCGCATACCGATAATATATCTAAATATATATATTGCAACACAAGCACAAGGTATAAAGCGAGCGCCGGTACTAGTGGGTCATTTCTCCAACTAATAGAGGCGAGCAGGAAGAGAAGCTGGTTGCCAGGAAAGTAGTTGAAGCTGCAATCGCTAAAAATGGTCATTGATCGTTTGACAAAGAGCGTGAAGGAAGTTGCGTTACCGGCGAGTCCATCACCGCTTAGTTACTTGAGATCTGCGTAATGGATTAGGATGCCGAGTATAGTGGCAGGCGTCTACGGTTGGTCATTTAAGCATATGTTCGGGCTTGTTTATGGATTTCTGCAAGTCCTAACCCAACACTGGTTGGAGTCCGTTGCGAATAACATGAGACTGAGGTAAGAGTTCAAGGTTCGCCTGTTCGAGCGGTTTTTACGGAAAGCATTACGTCACGCGTTAGAATGTTACCTGCGAGACCAAAAAGATCATCGTTCACCCAGAACAAATCCTTTGTACTGGACCGCATTGGGTCGCCTTTTAAGTTTAAGATATTCCTAGACGACCTAGTAGAATCATGCCTATGTGACGATTTGCAAAGTACTTCGCACCTGACTTCATAGTCCTAACAAAGCTTGCGGACGGCTAGCGAATACATCGAGGTATGGCTGAAGTCGAACCGTCACCAAAATCAACCAACGTGCGATGTAACTCAAAATTCTGTGATGTAGAGGATCGGCCCAAACTGAGGCACCATCGTTAATATTTTCGTGGTACGTAATAAAGGACCTGTGTCGGCCGCAAAGCTCTTGACGGTGCCCACTACAGAGATGAAAGGTACTGAGATGGACGATGACAACGGGCACACTCTCGTCTGAACGAAGCTATTAGTAGACTTGACGCAGCAACAGATGTTTCTGGACACATGTTCATGAGCTGCCTTCTATACTGAGCCGAACGTCGCTGTCGCCGATTGTGCGAGTTCAAAAACTGAAACTGCAATTATTCTTAAAGATTTCATGTAAATTGTACAGCGGGTACTGAAGTGCTTTGGCCGGCGTATTCTTTCGGGTCAAAAAGACGGTAGCTCCGTGTGAAGGTCGCCGAAGTTCAGAATTTTAAGGATCGAAAAGAGATTCTAACGTCTGCCCTCATTCAAGGAAACCTGCAACTGAAGAGACGATCGATTACAGAAAATGCCGGGGTGCGTACGTCCAAGGTTTAAGGGGCGTAGTTTCAGCAGTGGAAACCGATTCGGTTCGAGCAAACAGAACATAACGGCTCTGTTTCAAGAACGGCACAACAATGCTATGGATGATAAAATAATTTTCTCACAGCAAACCTTGGTCGGTCCCTAAAGGGATGTCATTGCAGGCATGCAGGATTGACATTTTGAAAGAACCATCGAAAGTGTAAATTGTCCTAGACTATATGTTAGGATATATATGTGAATAGTGCAGCCGAGTGTTGTGGCACACCAATAACGTTTAAGTCCTACGTATTACTGAACAAATACGAGGTACAGTGCCGACACTATTGCATTGTCACTACGACCTAGGCGTCCCATATATATATATATATATATATATATATATGTGTGGTTTTCAGCAAAAAACGGTCCTGACAATTAACTGTGTTACGTACTAACCACCCGTATAACGTATTTTGGCATTTGCGTATCAATACTAGTTATCGAGGTATTTATAAGTATTATATATAAAAAAATCTGAACGGCTAAAATTTTCTTCCTAAAATGTTTTTCAGAACTATTATATTACACTGAACGATACGTTGGTTTTTTTTTTTTTATTTATAGAGCCATTTGACTGAACTCTGCTTTTATTGCTTCCATTGCATTGACAAAGAAATGAAGCACAACTGGAACAGGAGAAGTTTTTGGCCTTTTAATTCCACTTAGTCTGAACACGATATACACAGAAAACATCTTCAATTATCTCAAAATTCAGCTTTTTTTTTCCCTTTATATAATACGAAGTAATAATTAATCTAAAAAATTGTGTTTTCAGAGCCTTATTACATCGAATGCGCAGATTCTATAGTATAAGTACATACTAATGGAAATAAAATGAAGACAATGAAAAACAGCAATGACTCCTAGGTTTGTCAACATCGTCTCTGCCTAACTTTTTCCATTTACTTCTTCAAATCACACTTCAGCTGAGACGAGATTCTGAACGACTACTTTGCGGTGTGTGGGAAAATGTGGAATCAACTCTTGTCTAAAAGTACAGGTAGCCCAAAATCGCTGCGAGATAATCGAAATAGTAACAGGTGTTAGGTATAATTAAAGAGACCTACATTTAAACTTGTAGAGTTTCAGCTCGTATTCGAGTCCTGATACCTGCAACAGACATTGGATCGATGCTACAGATGCGCGGATGCTTCAATAGCCAACGATGGCCCTGTTGGAAGATCCTATTCTATAACACTTGTCTGTAATTTAACTCTAGTATGGTGTTAGAAAATTTAAAAGCTCATAAATCTTCTGGATGATGCGACAATTCAACAATAATGTCCATGAGTTACGCTGGTTTTTTTTTCGTCTTCGTTGATTACGATCTATGCCGTCACCGCATCTCACAGCCCTTTCCACAGGGCCGTCGCCCAAAACAACGACCAGACAAAAGGAAAGGGTAACAAGTCTATTCACAGTATTCAACTGACGACACTTTACACGAGCAGCGCCATCTCGGTCGACGAGTACTAATTGTCGTACGTGGCCAAAAATCAACAAGAACGAAAGCAGGATAGCTCGGGAAAAAATCATCGAATATTCCCGTAAAGGGCTTCTAATTTTTTTTTCTTTTTAGCGTCAAATAATAGAAATATCTCTATGTATAGGTTATGTTTCTGTGTTCGGTACAGCCCATTCACTGCGATGACATCTCGATTCGAGGCCGAAACTACTCATAGACTAGTTTCATACGTTCTCTTTGCAAATCTGTGAATATCATCTTGTTAAAATGATTAAGTAAGTGGACGTTATCATGTTGAGACTCGCTGGATTCTTGGTTAATGATGCACTATACATAATTATGTGGGTACAGATTTGGGCAGACGTGTATGTTTATTCCAGAACTTGCCCAACTTATTTTCAAGCAGCGAGTGTCGTGTTAGCCGGCCATTATGAACTGGCATGCCATCTTTCTGGAAAACGTCTGGCGTTCCTTCAGATATTTTAGCTGACTGCGACCATAGAATAGTTTGTTGAACATTCAGAAAAACTATTTTGTCTGCGTCAATTCTATTTAGCCATAATTTTTAGAGGGCAATGTTCGCGTTAACTGCGACCGATGCCGAAATTTCTAACGAGTCAAACAATTCAGCCAAAGAATAGGACGCGTTTTCAGCGTCAGCATTTTAACATGACACTCAGCAGGTCGGAAACTCGCTTTCAACTAACACCTAGAAACTGGAACGTTTTATTTCTGATTGACACTTTGTCTACTTAGGAATCAATAAACGAGCTTTGATCGTCTAAAAGAAAACATCCATTATTAAGCACCCTCTTCAAAAGCTGTATTCTTTGCTTGGCTTCGTTGCAACTCTCGACGTAAAACATTATGTCACCCGCCTAGAATAAATTCGCAATCTCCACCAGAAAATCATTATCTTCTAGACATTCTGCATTTCGTCTTCTAAATTAAACCACGAATTGGAAATGTAACCGAACCCCAAAACTGAAGCCTAAAATTTTCTCATCGGCGCGTTCGAATCATCCTCATTGTCCAGGTACCCCATAAATCACAGGAGTATCTTGTGGTGGAAACAATTTCAAATTAAGTAAAATCTTTAAATGCCCACTGTATCGAGGAACTTTCCTTTCCAGCATTGTAAAAGGACCTCAATAACGTCCGTTAACAGATTTGGTCCTTGCGCAAACACGTCGTTTAAGGCCTCTACATCACGGGGTCCGAGGATAGGTTTTTGCATAGTCTCACTTGTGTGGATTGCGAATATTGGTTTATTACCACTAAGCGATAGTTGCTCTTTGCGTGTACCCATATTACATCGATTTAGCTGCCTCATCGTCAATAGCTTTCAAAATATTTCTATCTTTTACTGGGTAAAGGATACGAAACGTTGAAGTCTAGCTAACGGCAATTTGTCGTTGTCTCTGAAATGTGAACCGTTGTGCTCAAACAGCTACAAGATATGTTATCTTCCCGTAGGCACTCCCTACACTGCATCGCTGTAAAAGCATTGTTTGGACTCTCTGGCAACACGCGATTTTGTGTTACACGACGGATTCTCGATAACTAGAATATCTAGGTATTGTAAAGCGGTGATGTTGAATTTTTCGCGGCTAAATCCATTGCCTGTATACAATCCAGGTCGTCTGCTGAAACTGAACTGTTGCTTACAGTTGAGATGGACGCACAATACAAATGACCGCGTTGGAGCTGGCATTTATTACCAAATAATTGTTGTCTTAAAAGAACCATCTAAAACGTGTCTCAACTTTTCGAAATCCCTCTTTCATTTAGCTCCGTTAATGTCCGACAAACAACTTGTGCTTATTAATTATTCGCTATCATCCGACAGCTGGCTTTTAGTGCGAGCTGGTACCGATGAAAGATCGCGCATATCCTTAATCGCAGGTAAATGACCCTTCTATACAACCCATATTGCCTTATTTAATGTGAAGAGGCTCCCTAACCCTAGTTCCTAAATTAAAAACTTTTTCAGTTAAGCTAATTATTCATACTACCCACTGCCTTAGGCTTTGTATTTGTTATGAGCGACCAGAAGGAACGCTGCGCACCTTTAAACAAACTCATAGACGCTTGTCACTGAAAGTTTGTTATTGCTAGACCCTGCGAGTTGATAGCTCCCCGATGGATATAATCATTATGCTGACTAAAATGTACCATAATACAAATTTAATCGATTAATTATACATCATATTCAACTCATGCGAGCCTGAAGCCTTCGTTAATTAGTACTAAAAGCTGGTTAAAGGGAGTGCTATGCGCCGCTTACCACGAGTCTGCTTCTCGATCAAGAGAGCGGAAAATGTACGCAGGGTAGTGCGGGCAATTCTTAGTCCTCCTATGAGGGCCTTATGAATATTGGCATTCACAGAAGTTAGCCGTATACGGGTCAACATCCAATACTGAGCTAACGTGTGCAAAGAGTCATCCACGCCTCTCTCCAAGTATAGCTAGCAAGCATCTGAGCTTTTCAATTTGGAATAAACAGCTTTGAAACTTCCTGTGGCTCGCAGAAATTTGTGTTAGAGAGTAAGTTAATTTATTTCCGAACCTTTTTAGTCAGCTTTTAAAGCCTCTCACCGTGGACCATTTTGAGAATAGCCGTTTGCTCTGTTTGCCATTGGGTCATGGGCGTATTTTTTTAGGTCAGCTTGAGTTTGCTACCGCTATTTATTTAACAGGACCGGAGAAATTATTCTCACTCAAAACAGGGCCTATTGGCGTGCTAATCGTCTAATATGCCTGAGACACCCACAAAAGACAAATGCGTTGCAGGCTTTGAAGGGGTCTCCTTCGCTTTGTTCTTTTCTTTTCGGAGGAGAGTCCTTGTCTGGACTCAGGCTGCGTAAAGGGAAGCCGACCCCGCAACCATCATAAGGATTGAATAAGGGATCGTACACATCAAACCATAACGCCAATGACAACTAAATAGCAGATTCAACAAGATGCAATTCTTTTTCAAAGAGTAATTGGAAAACGCAATATTTTACGAAGAAAACTACCCAGCAAAATATTTTACGGACTGATTTATACGCTGCTCTATAATTTTCTATGGTTTGCGCTTGTACAGTCGACTTGAAAAATGCCAGTGAAAGAGTTATAGAGACAAATGCGTGTCAAATCGAGATTACCCAAATCACGAAAGTAATACTCGAGTGACTATGCACCACTGGTGTAGAGCTACCTTAATAATATAATGACTTTTTTCAAAAGAGCTTTTCCTTCCGCCACTAGTATTGCAGGTATTCATCAAAAAACTAGATTCTGTTTCCTTGAGAGAATGCTACAATAGATTTATACGAAGTCATTCTTTAGATTCACCTTTTTTTGTTTCCCATCTTTCACAGTCAAGATAATGCTATAATTAAATTACCTAATGTAGCACTTGCTTCAGAAAAATTAGGCAGTGTCGAAAGCGACACCAGTTCGACCACCTAGCAGAGAATAGATCCGCAATATGTAGCGTCGATGCTATACCTGACTCTTTTTTAAAAGACCAACTCCACTGAAGATGCTACTTTCCCACGACGCTTTAACAATTGAGCGTGTGAATAACAGGGATCTGGAAGGAAAAAGGGTATTTCGATATGCCCTGCTTTGGATCCGCCTTTTTTTAGTGTGAATTTGCTTCGCTTGGCGAATTGGCTTGCAAGATCTGTAACGATTAAGAGCAGCGGCAATAAATCTCCGATAGTCACCTGTATGGCCTGTTTCCATAATGCAGCGAGAACATAATAACTCTGCCTGAACACTCATTTAAATACTAGCGCATTTTAAACGTATGTTCAAAGCCTATTCATGATTTTAAAAGAACTTCGAGTTAAAGCAGCTTCTGTACACAAAAAAGGAGAATTACCATAAAGACAAAAACCACCTCCCATTAAGATTTGCTCATTTAGTTGCCCACACTAAATTACAATTATTGAAAAGTTTTAGCAGAATTGCTTTATTTTGACGCCCGCCGCACAACCATTAAGGTCAAAATTCGACCAGCGCCTTACACGGTAGCGAAATAAAAATAACAACTAAGAAAATCATTGCATTAAAAATTCTACTTTCATCATTGTGTTATGTTTTATTATGGACATATACGTACAATTCCAATAAAACAAATTTCATTTTATCATTAGCCATTAGTGATCATACGAATAAAATAGCTTTAGTCTACAGGTTTTCGTTTTATCTATATTCCAAGTTTTACATTCAGCATCGCCGTTGGGCATCCCATCAGAGAACTGGCTCCCAGAACAAAAAGTGTGTGCCTTGGCAGGGTTCGAACCTAGCCCACAATGTGTTCCTAGGATTACCAAGCGAATACGTTACCTACTAGGATGAGAGGAGATAAGACAGATGAGAGCTTACAGACACCGCACTGCACAACCTATTGAACAAACATGGCAACTCATACCATAGTACAGTCATCGCCATCGATCTAGCATCTCAGTGATACATATCTATTGCACGTTTTGAGGCAACTTTGCCAGGTAGAACTAATTATGGGCCAACACTTCTCACGCGATTACATAGATTGCTTCGATATCACTGTAGCTTTCTTACTTTAATTTTTAAGCAAATATTATCAATTAGAGGTAATCTGGTCTAGGATCTATTATGGAAAGTGTGTTACCCACTAAATGGAGACTTCCGGTTACAAGCACGGAGAGCTTTTTGTGCTCGGCCTTTTTCTCTTCTGCGATCATTTTTATCTTCTTCACAGCATCTGCAATACAGTCGACAGTATATGTTCGCGCTTGCTGATGTCCATTACAAATACGTAGAAATGTTGCTTCATCTTCAAAGCATTTATTACGCTCCCTATCGCCGTTAAGGGTGAAGTTAGAGTTGTCAGCAGATAAGGCAGACTGCATGTAGGTGCATACCGGTGAAAAAATTGCTATCTCGAAGAATAGGCGCTTCAAATGTGCAAGAAGAGCTTCACTGCTCCTATCGCCTGTGCAATGAAATAATAATACTTTCAGGCGAGAAGAACTGGTCTGGTGATATTGGCCAAACCAACGAGCACATTCCTCCATTGATTCAACTGTATGAGCACCGTCTAAAAAATATGCCACATTTCCGCGATTCAATAGTTGGCACCGGCCTGGCCATCGGCACGACTCAAGACCTTTGAGAGTCTCTGTGGGCAAACTAAATGGTCGCGCTAAAATCATGCTGGTATCACCATAATCAAGCGTGAGCACATCGTCACGAAGGGTAACTCCCCATTCAACCTGAGGAAATCGGTATGGGTCGTTCTTTTTTATCCAAAAATGTGCTAGCTGTACAGCAAGAGACGCATTCTCTAGTTGAACTTTACCAGGAATGCCAAGTTGTACAGGCTGACCAGCAGTATCATATAATTGTAAAGACGGAACGACGTATAAGTCACAACGCCTCTCAATGGCTTTTTTTTGCAGCACCCTCATTGCCTCAAGGGGTTGACTCGCTGTGAACGCTGGTACCAAGAACTTCATGATACCACCTTTGTGCCACGCAATCTTTTCAATTGTGTTTCCTAACAACTTTGCATGATCAATGCTCAAAGATGTGATTCCCACAACGCTCGGTTGATCGACGACATTGGTGCTGTCATATTCTCCACCTATACCAACTTCTATTATTGCTACGTGGACCTTTTCATGGACAAATAGGCGGAAAGCCATCATCGTTAGAAAAGTGAAATACATTGGCACCTTCTCACCTGAGCGCCTCTCGAAGTCTCGTAAGACGTCATACGTCTCCCAAAAGTGCTTAGCAAATAGATCTTTAGAAATTGGTCTTCCATTTATTCTGATCCGCTCACGAATGGCAAGAAGATGTGGTGAGGAGTAGAATCCTGTTTTATAGCCATACGATCGAAGGATCGACTCCGTGAATGCGCACGTTGAACCTTTGCCTTTTGTTCCACTGACGTGGACTACCCTCAGTGCCGTCAAATGCTTCTGCTCAATGCGCAGTTCGTGCAGATAACTAGTGCATTTCGTGTACACAAGAGGAGCAAGGGCTTGACGAGTTCTCAGTGAATCTTCGATGGCCGACGAGTTGCTCTGGAGGCGATTGAGCTGAGCCACCGCCTCTTCGTAGCCTCGTGAGGCACACATGACACTCACCTGTTCGCACCCGAAGCAAAAGTTACGCTGCCGTTGAAGTTTTGAAGCAGCGACTTGCCAAGAAGGCTTGGTATCGCGGACAAAGTGACGAAGAAAAGTTCGGACAACAGTACCCATGGCTTCCCCATGCGCAGTTTCAGTGTGAGTACAATCGAGTAACGGCGAGGGGGCTGCTGTGGACTTTGTTCATATCATCATGCTAGTTGTGTTTCCATCGCCACCACTATCGCAATCACGAGGCCTCTCTAACCCGATTCGCTGTTGCCACCATGGGGTCAACCAAAAGAAAAACAGTCCTTGGCTAACCACAGCGCGCAGGCCTGGCCTCGCTACCCAATAAAAACGTATCATTGTCAACCTGTTTTTAACGCGTTAAAAGAAAGAACCAGTGTTAGCTGCCAACAACAGCAACAACAACGACAACGACAAATACCGCCACCACGACGAACGTGTGTGTGCTATGTGTAGGTTAAATTTGCACAATCTTTATAATAAGGCATATATAGGTACAAAATTTGCACTCGACATTTGAATATACGTCCCATACGGCACGGAAAGGTGAATGATACCATTAGAGACCCGGCACAGCATTCAGCGAATACCAACGTGACGATTAGAATCATGTTATATTAAAACAAAGGACAACACCAGTCGGGTGAACATATTTCACGGACGGTGGAAATAATAAAAACAACAATATAACATTCGACTGTACTGATTTATAATACAAACAGTGAATTATGAATAATCGCTAGAAATTCGACTGAAAAGCCTGTTGGAGCAACGGTGTTGATAAATAAAAGCAGACACATCAGAGAGAGGGTAAGCGAGAATTCTGCACTACTTGATATCTAACAATCACAAGTTTCTAATTTGGGATAGCATTTTTAGAAATAATTCTAGCAATTTTATTCGATACACAACAATCTGAATTAGCTGACAGATTTAATACAACCGCTAATAAAATCAAACAAGGTGACCCTTAAATGGCGAATAGCGCCATTATTTAAACGGTTACCGTCGGCATCACGTAATCGCGCATTCTACTTCTATAGCATAACTATGCGATTAAGTTTGCATTCTACCTCTTTTATTTCTTTAAATCTTGCTGTAATATATATATATATATATATATATATATATATATATATATTGTGATACTAGGTGAGGCGGTTAGATACGATACCCACTGAGCCTTCTAAAATCAACTTTAATGATTCTATTTTGTAGTTAATGAATATGTGCTCACATAGTTTTGCGTCAGGTGATTTTTAATATAACGTCGAGATGATTCGTATTAATCGTATGTAGCTCACAGATTATTCTTTTTTTTGTTTGAATATAATATCTACATATTTTTAACCACAAAGGAGAACTTTTATCGAAGGACTATGCAGTTCAAGACGGAGTCTACAGATGATTGCACACGTAAGTATTCTGACTAGAGGGAATAAATAGAGTAATTGTAGATTCAGGCAGGCACAACTAAAAATGACATTTTTATCTTTTTCTTTTTAAATCACATCATTGCAACGTTATAATGATATACAATAATCGTTATATATGATAGTATAACACTACTAATAATGATAATAATCTATTTTTTAAATAAGCAATTAAATGCGCCCTCCGCTAATAGTTTTCTTGGTTTTTATTCTGAGATTTTTATTACGAAAATAACTATCCAGTTAATTACTCTTCAGCTATATTGCAAAAAATGGTGACATACCTCTATCTATTTGCTTAAACAGCAAAAATAGATTGAAGGTTGTTTCGTTACTTCTACATAAAATATTCTTTCGAGTCTAGCCTAGGTGAATAAGACAACACCAAAAACTACCGTAAAAATAATTCCTATATCGCGTTTGAACTTACAGACTTGTTAGCCTATAGCGAAGCCATTCTCCCGAGTCGAAACGCGCTGTATTCTACTTTCTTTTAGAGTGAACCTCCGCATTTCGATTCATCAATATATATTTATTTAATGCTGACCTCAAAACTTGCAGTCTCGAAGGATTGATGACCTCACTCAATAAACGTTTTCACCAGATTTTGTAGAAATAATCGAATACCATTGAATTCCGTTGCCTGGGACTCGACGTTTTCCAGTATGTAACCACTACAAAATTAGGTATACAAATAGTTAAGCTAAGAAATCAAAACGCGTCTTCAACTTTTGGTCTTATCATCTGAAGATTTTAATTCACCTTTCGTTTTCATCTAATTTACATTACAGTAGTATATTTTTATCTTTCGAGTGATTTCTAGAAAATCGTTCTATATTGTTTACGTGGAACTTGTCGCTTTCCGTCTTATCGGGTTCATCATCATCATCATCTCTTCTCTTTACCTTCTTCCTCTCTTTTATATTCCCCTTTTTACTTTTCTCTATTTTATTATTCCCTTATTTTTCAATCCTCTCTCTTTATTGTTGTTTGTTGACTCTAAGTAGCGTAGAAAGCACGCCCCGACGGCCATAGTCATCTTCGACGGGAAGAGGCTGCCTCTCGCCAGAAGGACGCCATGCTGAACTCTATCCGAATAGACGTTCATCTATGCATAAGGAATATAAGAACACGGCCATCAGTCAATATCCGTAGAGACTAGGCGCGACGGCAGTAATATATCTGAGCTAGCTGAAACAGCGACAGCTGCAACAGCGGTATCGGTGCCTGTTAGAACAGAATTGAAACGAAATGGTCTGCAATAAATAGGTCGTCTGTACGTAGAAGAGGGAAACGGTGCCGTATGAATAAAATCTGTATATGCCTTGCCGATCAAATGGTATCTCAAAAAAAAAAGAACCTTTATCCAATAGTAAAAGTGTTTATCTAAAGGTTACGTTGATGTTATCGCGCTCCCTATGGTGTCATTTATAAGAATAGTTATTATAGTTACTTTTGTTGCCTGTACGATTGCCTCTGCCAGATGCTACTGGTTGTTGTTCACGATGTCAATGGATGGATGAGCTATTCAACTTTATCGATTTATGAAAGGACATCAGTGGACGCTGCCCTGCTTTTTGCGTGTGTATATTGAAATTGTGGGCGGCGATCGCTCAAACTGTTCTTTTAGTTACCGAAGACAGCAAAGTTGCCGCTTGGTGCACCTCTACGGTACACGAATACGCAGATAAAACTACCGAACTGTTTGGATAAATCTCTTATATTATTTCCGCGTTTTTCCTAGTTGCTCATCTGTTTCCCTCCTCTTTCTGTCGTTAATCTTGAGAAGTCTCTGAAGTAGGCCATAGTTGTGACCTTTTTCATTTTTATTATCATTTCATGTTAAAGAATGCGCTGCCAAGACGTTTGGTTTTTACGTTCCTGTATTTTTTTCATACTGTTTGGATGTAGTACTCACTCGTAGTGGAAGTAATAATATTTCTTTAATAGTAATGTCGCCATTGGATGTATCTGTCGAAAGAGGATACAAGTGTCATGAAGTGAGGCTATGTTTATGTGGGCGGCCATTATTAATAGATCATATCTCTTGCCTTTTACTGTTGTTGTTCTATCCAGGTCTTCGTTGTTGTTGTTGTTGCTGCTGCTGCTGTTGTTGTTGTTGTTGTTGTTGTTATCGGCGTGGTAAAACCATCAAGAGCGTCCGCCGCCTTTTCCGGATGGCAGCAAGTTCCATGTTTTATTTATTCTCGGCGCGAAATGGACAATCTCAGTGCTGCAGAATGCCCGTTTGCGTAAACTTTTTGGTTCGTTTCAGAGTCTGTGTCGCTGTGGATTTCCGCCAGACTTTTTGTACCTTTATTTACGTTCTACGATGACGTTCTAGGCGTATTTTCGAATCGGCCCACAAAGCCGATGATTCGGCTCTTACTGCATGCACTCGTCAGCAGCATCAACACTGTCTGTATCGAAATAATCATCACAATAATAATAATCAGAATGTAAATCGGCAGCATTTCCGCTTCGTTCTTCAAACCTTCCCTATCGTCTCACGCCGGTGCGAAAGAAGATATTTTAGAAACAAAGAGAGGTCTCTCAATTTTGTCGTCGTCGTCGTCTCTTCAAGTTGTCGAAGGCCGTCGGGGCGCGGCATGTGATCAAGCAGATGGAAAGCACAACGGGAAGGTAGCGGTTGATAAGTGTGGCTTTGAACGGGCCTTTTTGCAACGTTCTGAATTGTACCCGTTTATGTTTTATTGCAGTACGCTCTTTTGCGTATTGTGATTCTTTTATTTTGTATTGATGTTGGTTATTAATGCTGCTATCTCGCCTAATCATCGCCGTGCATCTTCGCGATGCGTTACACTCATTAACAGACGCTTTTCTAACAGCTGACAAAAGAAGCTTCATCTCAAATTATACTGCTTGATGCTTGTGTCTTTATAAATCACCGCTATTAATAAACCAATACCACTATGATGATTTCTGTTATGGTAAATGTTTTTGCATGTTGACATTGACGTCAGCGTCTCTTGTTGTTGATTCTTAATCGGCTAATGTGGTGGTGCCTCTGTCCATCTTCCATTTCATAATCTCCGGCGATTACAGTCGTTTAGAATGCGAAGTAGTTTTGTTTCCCGGTGCAACTGTTGTTGCCGCTGTTATTGGTAGAAAGTGCTAGCGGTGCAGTAGTTCGGTATCCCCCTGGGAGCAAGCCTGTTCCGTCGCATAAATGTTTTTTTATTTCGATATATTGTTGAAATAAAAATATTCTACACATTGCACTCAGCCGACTGTGGTTGCAATTTGGGTTTCGTTTGAAAGAAACGAAGTTTTGAACAGGAAGACATTTTTCTAATATGAAATTTTGCTTCTTTCTGCAACTTGTGACTCGCTCATAACGTTCAGTATCCGAAATTGAGTGCAGATAGATGTTCACACACACAACGTTAAGGGCCCGATCCGTGTATTTCCTCAGCAATTTATTCAAATCATCGAGGTTACTGCGCCATATATCCATTCTTCTACTTGTTATTTTCCGTATTTCGACTTCTCTTCTTTTATGTATTTTTAAGATGATTTATGCCTTTTTGTCTATTAACATGGCGAATGATTTTGGTCGTTCGTTGCAAACCAAGGCAAGTCATTTGACTCAGTCAGTCACACGTTAACTACGCAATGATGATAATAGTAGTAATCATCCTAATCATTATCAACGTTATCTCTCGCTCTCTTCATTAGAATATACTAATAATAATAATAGTAATTATATAATGATAGTAAGTATATCAATTACAATAGTAATAATGATATCAATAATCATTAAATCAAGATAATCATTTGATAGCTAGGGAAGTAATAATAACTGTGTCGAGTGATACATCGTCTCATAATGATTATTAATATCATTAGCATCTTCCTTATTGTTATTGTTTTTATAATAGCATTATTATTTTTATTATAGTAACAACCTCTCTCTCTCTCTCTCTCTCTCTATCTCTCTCTCTTTCTCTCTCTCTCTCTCTATCTCTATCTCTATCTCTTTCTCTCTTTCTCGCTCGCTCGCTCTCGCTCTATCGCTTTCTCTCTCGCTAGCTTTCTTCCTTTTTACTATTATTCTTCTTTCGCGCGCGCGCGCGTGCGCGTGCGTTATTTTCTCATATTTTCTTTGGGAAATTTCGTAATTCAACAATTTTTTAATTCGTCTCTTTTCCCGCGCGTTTAACTAGGCCAGCCCACTATATCCCGTCCCGCCCTAACCGTTTCTTCCTCTTACTGCATTTTTGCAAACGCTAATTCGTTTGTAATAATTTATAATCAGCATAGTCATCATCATCCGCATCATCATCATCATCATCATCTCATCACCATTATCATCATCAACATCGTCATCATCATCATTATTAGCAGCAGCAGCAGCAGTAGCAGCGTAGTAATGACGATAACTTTCATTTGACGACCTAGCTTCCTCTATTGTCTTTCAACAATTTTAGTAATTTTCTTCGTCGACTTCGTGAACCTTCGGTGTCGTCGCTTTTTTCGCAGACGACGCCGACGAACTCTCTGAATCTTGAAGCACCTTTCTTTTATTATCTAAATCTTCTTTGTTTTTTCTGCCTATCATTGCACTTGTGCTGCTGTTTTGTCGTCGTCGTCGTCGTCGTCGTCGTCGTCGTCGTCGTCGTCGTGTTGTTGTTGTTGTTGTTGTTGTTGTTGTCTGCTCAATGTATAAGTAACGATGTAGTAACATCATTAGTATACTATTGCTGTTGAATTGCTAAAATTTGTCTGCTGATAAGTACATTTATGAAGTTATCTTTTTCTCGCTCTATTAAAGTCAGAGGAATCATCGGGTACTTTATGGCTCGATAAGAAAAACACTGTTATATATAAAAACGGGCTTGCAATACCCCAACCTGTCATATCATCATTTTCACTTTACATTATCGTTACTGCTTTGAAGACTGTTCCAATATTAATAGTTTTATCATTATTGTAACTATGGTTATTTTGCTGTTAGCACTATTTCATTTGTAACAACAACAACAACAACAACGACAACAATAATCAGACCGACGCAACAGTACGACGCAATATTTGGCGTTCCGAACAAACACATTTTTGTTTCGCTTCTCTTAATTTCATACGTTCGTGTCGTTTCTGTCTACTTTGTCTCAGATCTCCAATCTCTTTTTACCCGATATCTATTTATTACCTGTCTATGAGGTTCTGTTAGTGCAAGCAGCCGACATGTAACAAAGTTTTGTTGATTACTTTTTTTTTTTGTTTGTTTGTACAATCAAAACGTTAGACGTTTTTTTTCAGCTAACAATTACCCCTCGAATCGCGGACAGGTTCATCGACAGCTCGATCATATCCCACTCCTATTTCTGTATTTTTATTATTCTGGCGTCAGTTTATCTGTCTGAATACGCAACACTTCGGAGCTTTCTCGTTTGTTTCTTGCTTCGCGCCGTTGCTGTGTTTAACGTTCTTGCTTGTATCCTCTACAGGTATATGTGTCCCCATTTATCGATGTGGTTGGTGCCGCTTGCCTGCACGCTTGTATGTATGTGTACTGATGGCCATGTCCTATTGCAATAGCGATAGCAGATTGAAGGCGGCCTCGTTTAGTATCCCAGCCACTCGACAACAACACAGATCTGGACGCGGATCTTTTCAGTATCTACCAGTGTTCCTTAAAGTAATAACCAACGCAAGTGTTTACGTATAGGGGCACTTTTTCAACCGTTTTCCTCCATTACCTACAACTCCGCTCATTGTTGTTCTCATCGTTATTATTATGCTATCAATTTTCTTAATGTGTTCGCGTTGCCGCTTTCGTTTTTGCACACTTCCACTTGTCCTTGCCATACGTGTCCACCCGTGTCTCATATGATCAGCTATTTAGTTTAAATATATTCTCTGTTAATTGTCATCGACAGCATCGTCGCCTGTTTTCCAACCCGGGAAATCAGTTTATCATCAGCTAACAGCAAATCATTCATTTTCCATGCAATTTCTCTTCCATTATTCGGTCTATTATACTTGCCTACTCCCCGTGCCTAAGCTTCTCATTGACATAATTTTTGTCACAAAAGGGGAAAACAACGCCAGATCAACTAATGAATGATCGTTGATTTCTTCTGAGCTACTTTGCTGAATGATGAAATTACGTTCGTGCTGTTCCAGCACGTATTCGAAATTTTTCAACGACGGAATGTCTTCGAGAAAAAGTTCTCACAAATAAGCACAATTAGAATGGCAACTATTTCACCGAACAGTCACAGTTGTCACTGAGTCATACATAGTATAATAATACTACTATTAGTATTGTTAATAGCAGCATTGGAAATAGGTCCGAACCATTTTGCTCCCTCCCCAGCATTCTCGCTTCCGGTAGTACACACACGCAACTAATATGAGTAGTGCTCACTTCACTGACGACTTGCGATAGAAAGTCTCAAACTTGATAAGAATAGTGGCCGTCGACTGTCCTGACTTACCTAATTTGTTTTTCTACGTTAGCGCTCACAGCATTTGCTGCCGTAATTGTAACCGCTCATGTTTTACTTTCGTCAGTCGGCGTCATTAACGCGGCGTTAATGACACTACTTCGACCACAAGGGCTTTTACGCAGAGGCACGTTTCTTCCCCTATATTGATCGCTGCGAGGGTGGAACGCCAGATGGTCGGATGGTATTGTTGCAGCTTCCAGATGCTGGGCGAGGCGCACCGACGCAGTGTGAACCCAGCACGTCTATTACCAATCAATCACTCAACGCTAGCAACAGTGAGTCAATCAATGAGATAGGCGAATGGACCAGAATACGGACTAACAGCGATCTGACGTTAATCATCATGGAGGACGATGATGACAATGACCATCGTACCAAATTGTTGTGAAATCCACATCCATACAGTTGTTAAGTATTATTTTTTTCCTCGTTACGTTTATTAAGCAAGGATCGTTTTGCAAGATAGTCTACGAGCCACAGATGAGAGGTATCCAATAAAAACACAATGAAATATAAGGGACACAGACGTCTTTCCGACCCCTCTGGCGTTAAACCCGCAGCGCATTTAATCACAATTACAAAGTGCTTCATATAGTTGCTATAAAACTATTACCATCGTGGTCGCTGTCGTTGTTCATGGTATAGGTAAACTGTACTCGTGGCCGTAATGATCCGTGTTGTATGCGTGTGTTTGGCATAAAAGTCTTTTTCCTGTATAAATGTACGTGATAGCTATGAGACTAGTTACTGTATACTAATGTTCAGGGGACTGTTTCAATTGTGAGCAACCTTAGGCCATTCTCTCTATACTGCTAGGAACGGTGAATTTTCTCGACTATATCCGAGTCAATTGTATCTATTGTACCATTTGTTTCTTATTAGATGATTGCTCCATGGCGTGTAAATCTAATCGGCTAGTGGTAATTGATTTGTGAATAGTGAGACATCGGGGCTTATTTTAAGCTCTGCCCTATTATCGCTACCGCCTCCTTTATTTCCTATATCTGGCCTATTGTTATTATTTCCCTGGAGAAGAAAGGCGCCGGTGCACAGGTGCGCCAACCTTTACCAGCTAGGCCCCTTCCCCACCACCTGCAGAAGGCTGGCTGGCTGGCTGGCCGGCCGGCCGGCCGGCCGGCTGTCGTGGTGCCCGTGATAGTTTGCTGCGCACAGCGGTGCGCGCGATGGAGGCCGCAGGATGTGATAGCGCAGTGCCACTTGATAAGTAGTTGGTCTCTCTGACAATGTAGCCAAATTGTCTATGATGTCTTAATGAAGTCTAATGGTGTTCTTCGCCGTTACTGTAGCAGATCGTCGTAGAGTCGAGGGCGACTGACCAACTGTATGGGTGAGGTGGGGTCCTTTTTCCCCAGAGGGCCATACTCGCTGCCACCATTGATTTTGGCGAACATGGAGACGGAGATGGCCCGAAGAACCGAGGGTGCTTAATCGATCATCAGCTCGAAGTGCACGGAACCAATCCTTTCTTGTCGGTCATGGACGATATTGGCAGCCCAGGCCTTGCATTCGACGTTGATGAGGACGCCCCGCTCGGGCTTGATGAACTGCGCGAATACGAATGGAGGCATGTAGCCCGGCACGTTCGTGTACGGGAAGTGGAAATCATCGATGTACGGATTTGGGTGAAAGGAGACCGGGCCCATGTTCTCTTGGTCGGCTGCGTTCTGCAATGAATCAATCACCAACAAACGTAAGTTCCTGAAGCTACTAGTGCGACGCCGCACTCACTAACCTGGCCATCATTGCATGACGCGACCACACGTAGTGAGAGCGCGATGATCAGGCAACCAGTACTGAGGCATGAAAGGGTGGCCGGTTGACTGACCTGCACGTTTCATGCCCCTACTGCTTCTCTGCTTCCACTGCTACTACTAGCGACCTAATACATATGGTTAGGCTTCTGTGGTGCTTGTAGAGGTTTCTAGCCCGTGTGATTCACGCTATTAGCCCTCTTGCAGTGGCTTTTGTAGCTATACTCCAGCAAACGTTTTTCCTATAAAGCCTAGTTGTAAACAAATATACAAATTATGTTTCTTCAAGCTATCACGACATATGTTTTGTAAAACTGTTATGTATAACATCTGCTACACTGTTGACTTGACACTATTTTCATAGATAAATGTATCTAGTTAAAAGAAAATTCTATTGCTATAGGCACTTGGCAGGAACTAAAGGAATCCCGCCAGGTTATGTTAGTTTGTCAAAGTGGACCTAAAGTAAAATGAAGCGGTAAAACATTCCTATTAGTTAACAGAGCGAAGCCCAGAGCCCAACGGGATTGGCCTATACTAGTATATGAAATCTAAACTCGAACTATGGCCAACCCATCACGCGAATAATTTCGTTATTTTACATTAGTCACCCATTCGATTACCTACTCTGCAATTGCCAAACGAATTATGATATACCCCTACGGGCAGATGTAGGAGCCGTACCTACGGCCCGTTCCGACGCCACGTATTGATAAACGTCAAAATTCATCCTTGGAAAGATAACAGTCAATGCGTGTAGTTCATTTTCTGAGCTAACTGGCTCAACAACAATTATTACTGCGCAAGCAAAAGATGAAACTTTGGATACAAACCTCACTGACTTCTTACTTCGGACCTTTACATCGAGCCGACTATATAACAACGAAGAGATGTTGTGCAGGTTTAGCAAAACGACGCCGGTTTGTTTCAGCGAAATACATCGCTACCAGTAGCATAGTCATCATAGAAATTGTTGTATACGTGTACAGGTCGATTCGCGGTAGTAAGCGAACTGTAGCTTCAATCTGATTGGTTCCAGACCTATCTTCTAATGAAAGAGTAATGCCCTGTTTCTCATCATTTGATCGATGTGAAATAGCTCATAAGTTCGGTAACTTATTTGCTTATCCTCGATTTGCTTATCCTCGAAATTGCTATGATGTATCCGTTTAGAAAAATGGGACCAATTGCGTACAAAGTGAACAGGCAGTAGACCGACTTGTGCTTACTCCATTATGCCCGCTGTGTAAAGCGCCGTGTACGGTCACAAACGGTGACGGCCTTCAGCCAATTAACACGAATTTTTTTCTACTTGTTTCATTGTCTGTGTGAGCGCTAATAGTAGCGTATCGTTTTGTCACATTCTACGGCATCTGTATTGATGATGATGATAACTTCCACGAAAGCGTGTAAAGCCTTCAAACTGAAGGCTGTCTCTGATAGTATCTCTAACTGATGATTGCAACCTGCTAGTTCTTCCTCCTTCCACTTCCTGGCTTCGCCGTAGATGCCCACTTGCTCGAATATGTTGTGACAAAAAGTTAACTTAAAAGAAAAATACAACTGACTACATAATTTAGCAAATGTCTGCGATAAACAAACAACTCCATTCTGTACTAAAGGTGTATAATTTTAACTTCATATCAATAAACGGTTGAAACGTCGTCGATCTGGTCTGGGATCAAGACTGTCTCAGACCTCTTATCTGGTTCTCGCAACGACAGAGAGGCAAGTCGGGAAATGCCACGGCCTTTTATAGCGTCAAGCAACGGCTGTGAAAAGCTGGAATCTGAACAAATAAAATCTGCTTGTCATTGTTTTATAAGACCTCGGTCAGCTGCATAGATGCATTAGATATATGTCATTCACTCATTAAGGGCAGAAGATGTGCCAAATACTTGTTTAAGTATTTGGCACACTGTAGGACTGCTCCCAGATGTTTATGCGGCGAATGGCCGCTGAGCGAACGTTGGATGAACGCTGATTTGGCCCCGCTAAACGAATAAATGCTGGCAATGGGGCAAAGGGACACCGAGGTCATCAGTGGTGATGTTAACTCGGAGGAGAAGAAACGTAAAGGCACAGAACGTCGTTACAATAATGCTGCTAATACTATAGCAGCACCACCTTCCTGTGTCCTCCTTTCAGCTGTTACTACAGCCATTACTTTACTGATGGCCCTGGCAGAAACCGTCATTAGCGCAACTCGGACAGAAGTAGCTAGAGTCACCCGCACACATATAGCCTTATTCCTGCCAGAGAGTCGGGGAACAGTCTGCCGCCGTCGAGCGTTGAACGAGCGTGCCGGTGAGCGAAAAAACAAACCAATCTAAGACAGCGTTCGAACTATAATTGCTATATTGCGAATCATGTGCAGCGCCTTCTGCCAGCGACGGGCGCTACCAGAAAGCACTGCGCCATAACGCAGTCAGAAATACAAAGCTACTGGGATCGGCATCAACTAGTCAGAAAGGGCGGGTAGAAAAACGGACAAGCAAGGAGGGACGGAAGTTAGACCTATTGCAGAAACAGCGCAATATTCATAAAAGCAGACGTTGTGGCTATGGGATAGCCGTCATTGCTTAACCAGCGAAACAGCCGACCGGTTAACCAAGCAGGAGCTGCAACCAACGAAAGGGACCACCTTCCGTAAGCGTTCAGACAGTGATATAGCTGCGGGTTTAGAGAGAAAGGGCACCGCAGCAGACGACCAGCCACCAAAAGGAAGTGTCATAGGACATACAACGAACATCGCGAAATAGAATTTCGAAGTAAAGCAAATATACCATACTGTCGCCGCAAAATCGCAAGCATACCTAAGTTGAATCCAACATAGACTTGGCAAACATAGCGAAGCTGACGCTTTTTAGAGCGCTTTGCTACGTTTCCTTTTTATTCCTGATTTCATATGTATGCTTGCTGTCGCCGCCATTGTGGAAAAAGTTCCTTATACGAAAGGGCTCAACTCAGGAACAACGCCAACAACAGTGGCAACAGTAATAACGCCAGGGACGGCATACACAAGGGGGTCGAAACGGGAGCCGTTAAAACGGCATCGTTATATCGCGCCACGGTATTCCACAAAAGCGTCAGTCGTCGCCAGAACTTGAGCTTAGGACACTGGCGTCACCGACCTCCAGTGAACCGGCCCCTACTGCCGTAGCTGCTTCTGCCGTAACTAAGATCTAGCGTGGACGCAACCGGCTAAGTAAGGACGGCAGCCTAGGTCATTACTCTTGTTGCATCCAAGGTGACCAAGTCATAACAGTCTCTCGCTCCTCTAACAGAATGGGTACAAGCGGCGCGGCAGCGTTCGATCGCACTGCACTGACCACTCAAAACGACAGGAACAACAAACGGGCGAATCACAGCTAGACTGAGCAGACGCGTCGCCAGGCAAGCGCCATTATGATCAATAAATAGATATATACATGCATGTATTTCAAATGAATTATCATACGATGAATATATATGATATTAGCAGTCAGCTACTCAATCCTATAAACAGTAGAATATTTGTATTGTAGGATACGAAATACTAAGGGGGCGACAGAAAAAGAACGCTCCTGTTTAAAAAGTATTGAGAACGTTGCCACTGTTCTTATAAGCAAGCCTCAAATAGTGTTCTGATTAAGCTTGTGACGCCCAAATTAATAAGTGTTTTGGTATACCCAATAGCAGAAGAATTAGGAGGCGTGAAAAAGTTATCAAAAAACAGTGCCGAACACAGGTAATTGTTTCAGATCAACACGCACGGGACTAACCAGCGAACACTTACATTGCTATCTCTGATCGTTCGTATCATTCGGTCAAATGGAGTCAACTAGCGTCAAACAAAAGTAGTGAAGCAGTATTCCAACTACAACAGCAATCGTAACTATCCTTCCTAAGATAGTAAATAATGCTTTCGCATCTGGGGCCACCGGGTCAGCATTGAATGGCCACGCAGTATAGCTGGGCATGCTGCTCCTCCGTCACATGCCTCTCGCTGACCACATTCGCTCAAACAGCAGCAGCAGAAGCAATGGCCCGTTCGAAGGCGAACAGATCCCGAGTGACCGGACTGAACAGAATCAACAGAGCAAGTGCGTATTACCATAGCATCCCAGATGATCAGCTTAACTAGAGACTGGACGACTCATCACGTCGTCGACGCACGAGAAGCTCGGCTTCAATTGTGGCTTGGTTCTCTCTGTCACCAAAAGGACTGTGTATAGCGATCGGAAGCCTCAACAGAGAACACAACGGCTGTGCCTCGTAGGGATATAAATACGAAGCATCAAGGAGCCACTATAAGTGATGCGCGCTGTTTATCAACCGCCAATACATTAGATACACTTGTAGACGGACGAAGCGTATATTAGCGGACGAAAGATAGACATGAGCAAACAGTGCGACGGTTCTGATGATAGAGCAGAAACAGTCCCACAAAAGGTAAGAAGTAGAGGCAGGCAATAGTAGTAACTCAGTGTCCAATGGCCATGATCGGATACCTGCACTGGACAGCTCCATCACTTAGACAAAGCGTTCTCGATTAGAGCGAGAACTGCGTCAACCATTAGCGGAGGGGTCAGCACTTATTATATCTAACGTCTTTGTCCCTCAAAGCATTGCTTCATTCATTCAGCCTTTAGTTATGCTTTGCCCCTTTAGGCATGATTATACATAACAAAGTTGCTGAAAGCGTTTCGACAAGTCATTGCAAACACATTGCGTACCACAGTCATCCGCATATTGTCATAGAACCCTGTTTTGAATATCAAATGACCTTCAATGCAACAGAATAAAACATGCAACGAAAGAATAACATTGTCGTTAACGTACTTCGCCCTCGCAAGAGATGTACACGCGACCGTGTTCGTAATTTTCTTTTAGGCCATCGGGAAACCCTGGAGGAAAGACCTTGTTCAAGAATGGCGAGGGCTTCCAGCCGTAGATCTTGTTGATTTTCAGAGCGACGCAGGGTGTTCCATATTTGTAGCTGAAACGATTCACGAAAACAAATATGAAACATCCAATGACTTTTTGAACTGGATAGCTGCTCATTCACTTTAAAGCTAAAGTTCTTCTAATATTCATAGCAGCTTTTAACTTACCCATAGTCCTCCTGGGTAGAGCAATTTGAATTCGTCTTGTAGATATCATCAACCTTGATGATGCAGGCCTTGCCATCGCCCGCGGGTCTTCCTACACCGCATTCAGAAGTAAGGTGCTCCCCGGTGTTGCCTGCATCGCGATACTTCTCAATAAAATCATCGAGGTCCTTCACCCAGTGCTTGTATGAATCTCTGTCGCTTCCTCCCGCCTGCCACAGAAAATAACCAAAATGCGGAGCTATAGGTATTATAGTTAGACCTTAAACAACCAATCGAAGTTTCGAAATTTTCAGCTGGCTCGCCCAATTTTCCTAAAGGCCTTAGCTGACAGATGCACCTTGTAAACTGTCCTATATCGCAATACACAGTATCGTGACTACTCGGCACGCAGCAAACGAGTTCCATGAGCCGTTACCTCGATGGGAAATAGTTACTATAATTGTTTTTGCCGGTAAACAGAGCGCATAATGAAAGGCACCTTCTATGGTTATAAAGGCTAGTTAGAAAGAATTTTTATTCAAAGACTATTATTACTCGATCCCTATCAATCCTTGGAGCCCGTTTTAACTTCAAGCAGTTAATAAGAAATTGTTAGTTATGATTTATTGATTAACACACTGTTACGAACTTTGCATGCTTACATTAGCAGTATTGCTGCCTAAGTTAGGACAGCAGAAGCGGAACTTGTGGAATGCTTATTTGGTTGTGTTGATACGTAATGTTACTTGGGTGCTGGGGTATTTAATCCACCTATATCGTGTGCAACGCTTTCACCTCAGCCGCGCACTCGTCGCTCTACTGCTAGTGCTGGCATTGCTTTCTCCTGCACGTTATAGTCCTGCAGTCCTATTGTTTGAAAAAGTGTAAAAGAGGATAGTAGCCACTCAATTTCTAACCCCCTGACACGACGTCATGCGCTGTCTGTTTCTGTAACTACATGCAGGGTAGCATTGTAATTCGTAGTCGAACACTCTTTTCACTGTGGAATAACCGTAGGCAACGGGGCATACGAAGACAAGAAGCAAAAGACTAAGCTGTTTCCGAGAAACATTGAGCCCAACGAGTGCAGCTGCGCTTAGACGTAGTCATTGACGTGTTTAGTTCTCGATGACATCACCAATTCAGCTCTATAAATTCTCGCCTCCCCTTCTTTGGTAGTCTACCATCTCCGTTCGTCATATCTGCAGGAACTAGCTTTGCAATGATTTGGTTACGTACCCCCCACCCAAGTAATATATCGTGTAAGCAAAAATACAAACACAACAACGAGTAAGTAATGATACTGAACTAGACAACTGTATCTGTTCAGAATCGCTGTAGAAGGCCAGAAAATCTGAATCGCTCGCAAGGGCATGTAGTTCAGAGCCAATTGAAATCAGAATATATCTGAAAATGACGGCTTCAGGAGGATGTGCCATAGATGTGGTAATATGATCAGGAAAAGAAAATGAAATAACTGTCACCGGAAGGCGATAAAGAAACTATTAGCTGAGCAAAAGGAATCCAACTGCTTCCTGAGTAAGGGCAACGGTTTACCGGTATGAATATTCTTCGCGAGACAGGATCTATGGACCGCTGTAGTTCGCTTCATGGGTTCCCACGGTTGGTATGAAAACCACCATATAGATACGCGCCCTGGCGTCTTTCCACATAACAAAGAGCGCTATAATATAACATATACACTAACGGCTTAGATACCTTGAAATAGATGAGTGTTGAGTCGATGTTAGACAGCGGTGGGCGTGGCCTGAAGCCTAATCCCGGTACAGTGCCAATGAGACTAGCGTCCAGGGTCCACTTTGGCTGGAAGGCATCGAGTGTCTGATAGAAGATGACCAGCATAACCGTCCAGAATGCCGCCAAGCAGATGAAGAAGATGATGTAGAAAATTGTGATTTTTACTACAATTTCAAACGACAAACGGCATGTATCATTAGACTCGGCTTGCTGATTAGCGAGCCCTTGCTAAACCCGTGTGCATGAAAATGATGAACCTGTGAATAAATGCTTTAAGCACTGCTTTATTGGTCACTTTAGCGTACAGACGTTGTAGTCGATCATATGTGTTGTCTCTCATCTCTTAAAGTCGCTTGTAATCATTAGGTACAATCTACATGCATGTTCTTTGTACACTTCTCATCCACACTCAGCTAACATGCTACTTCTTAAGTTTGTGGTTGTAGAAATTTACTCATAAAAATATACGACATTTTCTTATAGAAAATAAATAGGTTGTCGTCATTAGAGACCTGCATTCTGGATATTAGTTTATCAATCTGCTTTAATTTTAAATTAAAGTAACGATTTGTCACTTGTCATAGCAATTTTATTCGTCGATACCCATTAATACGTGGCAAACTGCGTATTGTAATCGTAAGTTGCAGTAGGCTCAAACAAGTAATCTAAATAGCACCTCTATAACTTCATTAATGACTATATTGAACTAAACGCAATGTAAGTTTCCAAATAAAATATAATCATCATTTATATTAAACCATATTTGGACCCTAGTAGTAACTAAATACTAAACGTTGGCAAGGGTTTCCCTCAACGCCCTTCGAATTTTGTCCACCTTAAGGGCGCCGCTTTGTACCACCGGCAGGGTCAGGCCTGAAAAAGCGTCCACATGACGTTGGCGGAACCATTGCTGTGGACAATTTCGAAGTTATACTCCTGCAAGATCCGAGTTCCAAGCCGAAGGCCCTTCCATGCCTCTTAGAGGTTCAAATGCCTTTTTCGCGACGTATCACCCATACAAGCATATTTGAAATTTCTCAGCGGCCTATGCTACATATTAGCTTGATTCTGCTGGGGCCCATCTGTAACCTCGCTTTCAGATCATGTCGAAACTGTGCTCGTCTGTAACCTAAGATTGCAATAGCCGATACGATTACATACGGGTTAGCTTTCGAAGTTCTTCGTGTTGGTGATAACGTACAGCGGGTTTACGATCTGGTGAAAGTCCCGTATTAACGTGTTAATCACTAAAAGGTAGGCTCGGGAAACTAACTTCCTAATCTTTCAAACTTTCTTCGGATTTCAGAGAAACTCCGGCAACTATGCTGTTATAGCCTAGATATACTGTCTCTTGGGTTATGAAAATGTATTTATTTGCTTTTACCCTCAGGCAGACGGAGTCAATAGCAATAAGTCTTCTTGCAGGTGTGTCATGTGAGTGTCGAGATCAGATAACTAGACTGACATCGTCGACGTAAACAAGCCCCATTTCGTGTATCATAGTAACGCTGTCGTCCACCAGTACAGCTTAAACCTCGTCATCTATGAGCTATCTCTTCGCAGGTGGGAGTAAACTGGCGGTAAATCGCCGGCCGGGATCGTGTGCTACACAGCGCCATCAGTGAATCTATCTAACTGCTTAAAGAATTAAGCCCGTGAATACCCTTATAAAGCTATTGCGTTGCTTTGATGTCAACCCCCTCGAAAACCTCCAACCCATCGATGACAACGAGCCTGAGAAGGCTCGTTACCATTGACGGGTGCAAGAGGGCTTTAGTTTTGTTGTCAGCCCTATTTTAAGCTCGCTATGCTGACCTAAAGTGGTTCGATTCCTTGGCCTTGTAAAGTAATGCTGTAAGCTAGCAGCGCATAATACTGGTCTTGAACATCCGTGCTTACAACTACACCGGGACGCATACAAACCCACCTTGGAACAGCTAAAGACCCTGTTCAGCTGCAATTTGGTGCCCGGGTAGTTTAAAGTGGTTCTTTATAAATTGAAATCTTGCTTAAAATCTCTGGAAGGTGTCTGACTATAAGAAACAGCCCCGCCGACCCGCAACGTCAACCACCCCCTAGAACCGTCGTCCGGCGGATATAGTACAAGTACAAACGCTTTGAGGGCCTTGTAATTTCCACTGAACGTAACCTAGGATCAAGTGCGGACAAACTGCGTTTACTTCTGTCCAAAATCCAGTGAGTACTTTTCGGCCTAAAATTTTGATCTATAGCACAAGTGGGTCATGGACGGCGCAGTTTATACAACTTACACTGACAGGAGCAAGGTTCTGGGCATCGATTTTTTAAAACGAACCTGCTTCATGCAATTTAAGTATCTGCGGCAGTTGCTAAACGCTTATTGGGCCTCTCCGCCGTCTCACGCCTGCCACTACTCAGACTCGAATCTACTTCTGTTCAGCACTTCTGTAGCTCCAATATTCACAGGAGTCACGACTTTTTATTAGCCGACACAGACCTGGATACGTAGTTGATGAAATCGTCACTCGCCTATGATGTCCCTCAGAAAACCCCTAAGACGTATGGTAGTTCCAATCGGTCCATCAGAAAGTCTCTTGGGTTAAGACAAGGAAACTTTCCTGACGCCTTTTGTGAGAGTAGTACTCAGATGGTGGTACCACTTCATTTGGGAATATCAAACAGCTCCGCTGTAAACCCCGTACACGTCGTTGCGATCGCTTCGAACGCCCTTTAGCCTATGACCGCTCCAAACTATGGCACTGCCAACTCTTCCATCACGCTAGCTTCAAAAGTTGGAGGGAAGGCCGACCATGGACTTAAGAAATGGGTTCTACTCGACGAGTCCATTTCAGGTCGGACATAGTAGGGGGACTAGTGGCGGAGAGTCCATGACGTCCGTGAGCAGGTAAACCACGAAAGCAGACCTCCTTCCAATGCGTCCACATGCATTCGACGAGTGGGTCGCTGTTCTAACCGCGTTCGTAATCAACATCGGGTTTCCTTGTCAATCTGGCATAGCTTGTCATCCGGGGTAGGCCCTGCTGTTGTTGCCAGTAAAATGCATGCAAATAACAAATTGCTTCTGGCGAGCTGCGATTCATTCGGTCTTAAGCGGCTCCTTGCGTACAGATTTAAGCCGCATTTACCTGGGAATTACGGTAGTTGAAATAAATCACATACTTATCGTAAGGTCTATATGAGCCACCACATTCCAGGCAAAATGTAGCTTGTAAATGTAGACGAGTCATAAGCACTACTTGTTTAACTTTGCAACAAATAGTTATAAAGCGTCGTTGTTTCCAATTAATTGTCGCCGTCATTGTCTTCAATTAATATTTTCTTGAAAAAGGATTGAATTTATGTTTGTCTACGTACGGCAAATAATGGAAGAACCTTCGATAGATGTATTAGCATACTTCTTCTCTTTTGTAGTATCAATACAACTTTTGGCCCGAATGCCCCATTCTCCTCTGCACGAATACATATAAAACACGTACTCCTTGTGGCTTAACATTGGCGTTTTACAGGTTGTGTATTAATAATGATCAAATAATCCATTAGCTGAGATTATACTACAGAGAGTTTCTTACGCATTCAATGTAAAATAACTACTTTTATTTATTAGTACGGTTATTTTATATGCCTTATACATATCGACGTGGCCTAACTTTGCCATCCAAACGATGTAATACCTTAACATGTTCAGGTCGCTGCTACACGCACCTATTAGTTCAGCGAGCGACCTGACAAATGCTAAGCTTGATACAGCCTATAACTATCAAAATATTAATAACGTATACCCGATTAGTTTATGTGAAGGCACGTGCAGAATAAAGCCCTCCACTGCTGCGTTCATCCAACTGTACCCGTTTAACAATCTTCAGTTGGTAGGTAGCAGTTTATTTGAACACTTGTCTCGCTGGTATTTGGTGACGCAGTAATGACACATCGAGTCCCAAGCTTTAGTAAAAAGCACCGAAAAAGCTTTTTGGTCCACTTTTATTGCCTTGCCTCTACCAGCTTCGCTGAGCCCGCCCCGAGAATCTTTTACTTCTTCATGTAGTAAAAAAGAAAATCGACAAATAACTGGCGTTCATTTTTTTTTTTAACTAACTAACCTACTGAGGGGTGTGATTCGGCTCACCTCATAACGCTAACCCCATTAGTTTGCTTTACTCGAATTCTGTACTCCTTGAAAGACGGCGTGCCCTTTTGTAGCTTTGCAGGTCATTTCATTTTTTTATTTCAGCCTTCTCTACACTGTTGTTCTGATGCTACTCTTGTCTACTGTTGTCAGCGATCACCACACAGATCCTCCCCCATTTAGCCGTTGGAGTGTCTTCCTAAACCTCGTTATTCCAGCTTACCCCCTTTATACCGGCAGCGATGAATATGACGGTTAGAGGAAGGGTGACTGACTGACTGACTGACTGACTTACGTGACGTCGTCTGATATCGATGACGCACCCCTGACCGCCTCGACAGACTCGTCGCTTTCGTTTTGTTCACGAAACAGTTCGATGCGAAAAGGAATACCGTTTACTAAAGTGAAACGGAAAAACGGTATAGGATATGGCGATACAACTCGTTTTGACCAGAAGAATTTTTACCAAGTCGTATTAAATGCCAGTATAACCCAGATGGAACTCGATTTACAGAAGCGTGCAAGCTTTACGATTAATGAAAGTATAAGCTGCAAACATAAATACGCGTATCTGCGTTGTTCTATAAATACTTTCTTTTTTATCAAACCAGTATCTTGATGCTAATTTACGCGAAGCCTTGATAGCATAATCAGATACTGTTGCAGTTTATACCCATTATGTTTGCTGAATATTATTAAGGCCATATAGTCTGCAAGTAAAACTAAGTAAGACTGTAGTAACAATGAGAACATGGCACATTAGCAGATTCTCCAACAGAAGCAAAAGAAAAAGAGGAAGTGAAATGAGTTTGGTAATCTCGAACGCAGGCCGTCGATCCTACTTAGGCTGCCACTAAATGTGGCCACCCGAACTTGTTTCGATATACGCAACTGCTCCATTCGATTACCTCGGCCGCCCCAGCGTCGTTACTGTTCGCACTCTGCTAAGACAACGCTGCTATCCGTAGTGAATCACTTTATGCCTACTCTGATCCACCGGTCTTTCCTAACGCCTCTTCCATTTGCCCACTGGCGTTCGCG